TGGATGAGGGCATGGAGGGGGACAATGAGGAGGAGGAAGAAGTCAGAGGAGAGCAGGCAGGTGGCAGAGAACAAGCAATGGAAGAGTAGGGTAGTTTTCTTTTTTTTTTTGTCTTTTTGTTTTTTAGTTTGTATATTTTTGTACTACTACAAAATAGACTTGTGACCTTGTTTGTGATTCTGAGAAGTGAAATGGATAAGTGGAGAAAACTCTAAAGTACTTAAGGTAGTTCAGTAAGGGGCAGAGTTGGCCCACAGAGGAAGGTTGTATGGGCAGAGTACCATGGCAGAGGTTGATACAGGCCAGGTTTGTGCAGATATCATTTGTGGAAAGCAGAGACTATGTTGGAAGCATGACCTAGCTCAGTTGCAAGCAACCAAGAGGTTTCTTTGTTGGTGTTCTCATAACCAGCCCAGTGGACTAGATACAAGAGTTGACAGTGGTGGTGATGGCAGTCCACCTTAGAGTTGAGTATCTCTGATACTTCATACTCAAGGTCACCATCAACATCCACCAGCAGAGGTGGAGGTTGTTGTTGGTTTGGGAAAGGGTTAGCTGCTGTGGCTTCCAGTTGTGAGACATGGAAGACTGGATGTACTGAGCACATAGAATGAGGGAGCTTAAGGGTGATGGAGTGCATACCTGGCCTGGCCAAGATGGTGAACAGACCTAAGTACTTTTTAGAGAGTTTTTCCAAAGGACAAGCAGAGCAGAAGTACTTGGCTTTGACATAGGCTTGTTCTCCAACCTTAAACTCAGGTGGAGGTATGTGTCTGGCATCTGCTGGACCCTGGTAGCACTGCTGAGCAGCAGACATTTTGGAGCAGAGGAAGTCATGAAGGGTGGAGAGCTCAACAACATAGTCATGAGCCCTTGGAGAGGTGAAGTCTTGGTCAGGGACCACAGACAGGTTTGGGTGGTATCCTTTGTTAGTGAAGAAGGGAGAAACTCCAGTTGTCACACTTGGTGCATTGTTGAAAGTGAACTCTGCTAGAGGTAACAGCTCAGCCCAGTTGTCTTGTTGGTAGTTGCAGTAGACACAAAGTTACTGCTCGAGGGTCTGGTTCATTTGCTCAGTCTGGCCATTGCCTTCTGGGTGGTAACCCAAAGTGAAGTGAAGATGCACATCAAGGGCCTTTCCTAGAGAGCAGAAGAAGTGTGAGATGAACTCAGGACCTCTGTCAGAGGTGACATTAGCTGGCACTCCATGCTTGGAGAAGACATGGGTAAGGAAGAGCTTAGCAAGTTTGGCAGAGGTGATGGAGTCATGGGTGGGGATGAACATGGCTTGCTTTGAGAGGCAGTCCACTACCATGAGTATGGTGGAGTATCCATTGGAGTTGGGGAGGTGTTTGATGAAGTCCATGGAGATGGAGTTCCAAGGTCTCTCTGGGATAGGGAGTTGCTTCAGTAGAGCATAAGGGTGGTGATGTGGAGTTTTGCTCTGTCCACAGGCAGTGCAGGACCTGACATATTCTTTCACATCGGAGCAGAGCTTAGGTCACATGTAATCCCTGTGGACAAGTTCTAGGGTGCAGTTTTGCCTGAAATGGCCTGCTAGAGGATGGTCATGCTTGAACCAAAGCACTCAAAGGTGGAGGTCATCAATGTCAGGGACAAAGATGTGACCATCAAGGTGGAGTAGACCATCAGAGTCCAGGGACCACTGAGGCTTAGTCAGAGTTGGAAGATGGCTGGCAGAGACAGGGTTGGATGGTAGGGAGGAGATGATGTCAGAGTGCAAGCACTCAACATCGAAGACCATGGCAGCACAGAGCATGGGTGCCATGAGGGTAGTGGTATGGAGGGACAATGCAAGTTGCTCCTGTGTAAACATAGGGCAGAGATTGTGAGGATTTACCTGCACATAGTCCCTATCCCCCCTTTTTGGGTAGACATCCCAACATTGCATAAGTGTGTCAGGTTTGGCTCCCAGGCAGCCAGGTCAGAAGTGGATGGAAAGGTTAAACTGTGAAAGGTACTCCAACCAGCAGGCCTGTCAATGAGTGAGCACCTTAGAGGTGGAGAAATACTCAAAGTTTTTGTGGTCCATCACCATGTTGACAGGTAAGGCAGAACCCTCTAGGTAATGCTGCCAATGGCAGAAGGCCTCAAAGATAGCCAACAGCTCCTTGTCATGGGTATTGTAGTTGAGTTCTGGCATGGTCATGGTACAGGAGTAGAAAGTGACTGGGTGGAGTTCACTGTCAGAGCAGGTGATTGACAAAATGCCAGCAATGGCATAGTTGGAGGTATCAGTTTCAACTGTAAGTGGAGCATCAGGAACCCAGTGTGTGAGGACAGGAGCAGAGCTGAAGGCATCCTTCAGGTGGAGCAAGGCAGAGCAACACTCCTCAGAAAAGTTCCAAGGAGCACCCTTTTGCATGAGGTGAGTGAGTGGAATGACGATGTCAGAGTAGTTATTAAGGAATCATCTGTAGAAGTTTGTGAAGCCAAGGAAAGATTGGATGTCTCACACCTTCCACAGCTCAGGCCAGTCACAGACTGCCTGATCCTTCTCAGCAGACATGGTGAGACTGGAGGGAGAAAGAACATAACCAAGGTACTCAATGGAGTTGGAGTGAAACTTGCACTTCTCCAGCTTGGCATAAAGACCATGCTTTTGAAGGTGGTGGAGTACCTCTTTTACATGTTCACAGTGCAACTCCACATCCTGCAAATAAATTAGGATGTCATTGAGGTATACCATGATGCAGACATTGAGCATGTCTGCAACAATGCTATTAATGAATCACTGGAAAGCCACAGGCACATTAGTCAGACTGAATGGCATTGCCTGCCACTCGTAAGAACCATAATGAGTGTGGAAAGCCATTTTCCATTCATCTCCATCTGTGATGTGGACTAGATGATAGGCATGGTGGAGGTTGATCTTGGTGTAGACTTTAGTGTGGCTTGGGGAGTCAAGTAGGTCAGAGATGAGTGGCAGTGGATAGCAATCTTTTTTCATGATTTTATTGAGTCCTTGATAGTCTACACAGAGGTGGAGTGAACCATCCTTCTTCTTTACAAAGAGGACAGGGGCACCATGAGTGGAGGTGGACTGCTTGATGAAACTGTAGCCAAGGTGCTTGTCAATGAAGGTGTGGAGAGCTTCAAGCTCTGGCAGAGACAGAGAGTAGATTGTGCCAATGGGAAGAGAAGCTCCTTCCTTGAGGTCAATCTTAAGATTGAACAAGCACTTCAGGTAACCAATTTCCATAAGCATTTAGGCTGAAGTTTTTCTATAAATCATCCAAGCTAAAAGCCACTCAGACCAGGTCATCCCAGGGACATCTGGCCATGTCCCAGGGCTATTTGCAGTGTGCAGGACCTGGGATGTCCCATAATCACAGCCCCCTGGTAATATATTTTGGGCTGTCCCATGGCTGCCTTAGGTGTCAGGGGTCCTCAACTGCAAAAGTGCAGCTCACACCCACATTGGAATGCCAGCTTTCAATCACAAACACATTGCTGTTATGATCATCATCCAGACAATGAGCATACCTATCAAACTGGGGGGATGGATGAAAACATTACCCTCCCAAAAAAACACTTGCTATACATATTAAGTGATATATGAAGACTACTGGGCAATGAGCATGTTTGTGTGATGCCATCTGCAGAATTGTGCAATGTGAATGAAGGTGAACCTGTCAATTACTAAAGGTTAATGGATTCAGAATCCCCCCAATAGTATTGTAAGTTCTTGCATTTGTTACAACAGTCACTCCTTACTAGGATCACTACTTTTGTTTCCAACTTACAGTTGAGGTGCATACATACATACATACATAGTATCAAAATGATTCTATTGTGGGGGATGAGCATGTGAGTGCCCCACTGGCATAGGATGCTATATGATCTAATTGGCATGGGGCCCCATGCCCAGGACAGTGGGATGCCCCTTGATAGCTTTGGAGGCCACTGTGAGACATCCCCCCCCTTCCATAGGCCAGTGGGATGTCCCATGATAGCTTCAGAGGCTACTGTAGGACATCCAACCCCCCTTCCATAGGCCAATGGGATGGCCCATGGTAGCTTTGGAAGCTACTGTGGGACATTCCACCCCCCCTTCCAGAGGTCAGTGGGATGTCCCATGATAGCTTCAGAGGCTACTGTGGGACATCCCATCCCCCTTCCATAGGCCAATGGGATGTCCCATAGTAGCTTTGGAAGCTACAGTGGGATGTCCTATGATAGCTTCAGAGGCTACCATGGGACATCCCATCCCCCTTCCATAGGCCAATGGGATGTCCCATGGTAGCTTTGGAAGCTACTGTGGGATGTCCAGTGAAAGCTTCAGAGGCTACTGTGGGACATCCCACCCCCTTTCTTGAGGCCAGTAGCATGTTTCATCATTTGGAGGTTACTTGGGGCCATCCCCCCAATTCTGCATACTCCTGGTATATTAAAATACCTCAGACACCATGGGAACTCATCTAATGAATTTTTCAGAGACATACAAGACTAGCTTTACTACCTATGTGGTCTTTTACTTGGAGATGATGGGAGATCCATATCTAATACATCTAATTCCCAGTCATCTGCCCATGAAAACTCTGTCAATGACATCTCACTGAACTGTTGGTGATATTCATCTGCAAGAGCAAATTCCTCAGCAACACACAACAAGTCATCATCAAGCACTTCATCATCCCCATCATCATTTTCAGATTCCAAGTCCTCCCATCCCACCTCTTCATTTCTGTCCATGTCCATGATGAGTGGTGCATAATCCATATTCCTCCATTCTTCAACCCTTGCCTCCCAGCTCTCATCAGCACCTCCTGGAAAGTCCCTCAATTTTTCCTGCCACAGGAGACTCAGACTTGCTAATGCTGAAGCCCTGCAGTCCAGTTCATATGCAAGATCTGCACCTGATTTTCATTCAATTGTCTTAATACATTCAATGACACAACAGCTCTCTTACCTGCATCCACTCTGCATTTCTCCAGCCATCTCCATTCTTTTGAGTGCCATTCCATCAAGCTTTTTCTTTCATACAGGAGCCTCCTTTCCTCCTCCTCACACCTCTTCAGCTCAAGGAGTGACCTGATCCCCAAGCACACCCTTTCATCAGCTAACCAAGCTGGTGGCAATCCCACAGAATCATCCTGAAGACCAATATCCTGCCAGATATCATCATCCACATCTAGTTTGAACAAACCATCCCTTTGGATCAGTATAGGTGCTATGGCCCCTTGAGGGGCTCTCCCCTGGTGGATGAGAGCTACCAACTGCAAACACAAATTATTGTAGGAGGTAGAAAGCTTGACAATTCCAGGTTCTTGTCGCTGGACAGATCCTTCCACATGGATTTGAAGTTTTTGTTCTTCAAAGCAGTCAACCACAAGAGGCAAATGCTTAAGAGCACCACTTACCACTAACTGTCTGGTGGTAAGACAATTCTAGTCTCTCTAATTCAAACTTTCATTGACACAGATGGTCTCAGATATGCTTCTTGATTGCCAATGTATGCATACACAGCTGAATGCTTTGAATTCAATCAACTTATAAATCTAGAAGAGGAAGAACCACCAGCCTGAAGAAAAGAACTATTCTGGAGCCTGGAAAGCTCTGAAAACCCATCTATTCCAAGGCTTGCCCTCTGTCTTTGTGAAGCTTGTTTGAAATGCATAATCTTTTTGTGACACTTGGCTATCTGTATATTTAAATTTGTCATATCAGCTCCTCCTTGGAGAAGACCCTTCTCCAGTTCATCTAGTCTGGCATCATAAGTTTCCAGTGATTTCTGAGTTGCCATCATTTGCATTATAAAATTTTCTGTGGCTTTTGCAGAGTACCCTTAATTTACTGTCAGCTCACAGCAAGAGGAATCACTTATACAGGAAGCTTATGAGATGCTGGCTTGGTTTGTACTGAAACCTGAGCCTCCCATTCAGCTTGAAGTGTCTGAATATTGATTCCAGATTTTCTTAGACCCTTTTTTGCAGAAGCCTTTTTTTCTTGACAGTGGTTCCAGTGCTGCAAAAGCCACTGGCCAAGACCAGTAAGACTCTTCATGTCAAGATAGTGCACCTAGGAGTCAATGACAAAGAGGTGTTGATGATACTGAATAAAATATTAGCCTGCATTTTGTGACACAACTAACTGCATACCCCAGAAACTTGCAGAGATGGTATTAGTGGCTTAATTGAACTCCACAATCACTCACAACCCTCTCCATCAGAAAGTCCAAACCCTTCTCATTTCCAAGGGTGATAGATGAGCTGGCAAGCCCATTGATGACCAAAGGCATGAAAGACTGATATAGCAAAAGAAATTCAGGGCAGAAATGGCCCAAGGTAGCCCCACTTTCTGCAGCTCTGTTCAAGCTGACAGCCTATGTCATATAACAGCCCAATGTGAAAATCATCAGGGAGGTGACTGAATAATGATTTGATAAGGGCAAGTGCATAGTGTTGCTTCTCCCCTGCTGAAGTCATGTTGGCAAGGTGAATAACACAATCATGATGACAGAGTAGGGCCATAACTCCAGTATCTGAAAAGAATTGGGTACTTGCCTATACCACCATCAGAATATTGCAGACAGGTTAAATGATTAAGCTCACTTTCTGATGTCTCTCATCAGCTGCAGTGAAGGATTCATTACAACCCTTGAGGACTGATGGTGGTATCCTCATGCCCTGCTCAAATCTATCCTCATCTCCACAATTCTTCTTAGAAGACTGACCACTCCTCTTTTGCATTGATTCCTTTGTCCTTCTCAAACCTTCAACCTCACATTCCATAGTATCAATGTCTTCTTGTGACAGAAAAACTGAACCTGTAGGGTTTACTGGATCATCCTGTTGACTTCTTCTATGTTTCTGGGTAAAGCAAGCATCAATGCAAACAATTGCATCAGGATCAGAGGAGCTAGGACCCAAGACTATTTAGTAACATAGGATTATGTATGTGCACCAAGAAACATACCTATTATTATTTTTCCAGTTGTGACTACCAAAGCACAATGGACAATGCTTTTGTAGGTATTCTGAAGGCCATGTCCTTGAGCTTGAGACATCTGGAGGGTGGTGAGAGGATGATGGAACTGCAGGGAGGATGTCAGCTGGTGGGGTTGCAGCACTTTCCAGGTGTTGTTGAACATATTCATCAACTGAGATTTCCAGGATGCAATACCAGTGGTATGCATTACTAAACCTTCGACATATACCTTCCTGTAAGTATCATTAGCAAAAATCATTAATAGATATGGATGGAAATAGTTAAAAGCATGCATTGACTTAATAAACACAGCACAAGATCAGATCTGCAGACATGTGCACATTCATACAACCACAGTGCAATCATTCATTAGACACAAACAACAAAGTCCCAATAGGTTAGACATACACAAAACTGTAGTCTCATAATCACAACATAAATGAAAACAGTGGATACAGATAATATAATCATTGGGACAGAATTCAGACACAAACCTTTATGTCTATCTTGTAGCCCATGCTAGCAAGATATGCTTCAAGGGACTTGCACCATGCAGAAATGTTTGGGGGCATGCACATAAAGACCTGCCTGACCAGACTCAGAAGCTGTAAACTGACAGCAAGGGTTGGCCCCAGTGGCGCAGATGGAAAGTACCCCATCTGCAGGAGCTGAAGTGCTGCCAGTGCACATGGACAGACAGCAAGATCAACCATTTGCAAACCTGGCACAAGACATATGTCTAAGTAGAGAGGAACACATGCAATAAAATCTTACCATTGAAACTAACACAAAGAACCTTCAACTGTCAAGAAATGCAACTACACTCTGGTTGCTCATAGTCAATGTGGTGCTGGAAATCTCTAGAGAGCCATTGATATGCCAAGATAGGGCTTGATAAGTGAGGGGATGGTTTCAGACAACCACCACTGCCATTGTCTCATTTTCTTGTGAGCATTGCAGGACAGCGAGGATGGTGGGACAAAAAAGTCATCATGACTGACATGTAGCCCCTCCATTAGACAATACAAATGGGCAGGGGCAAACTCATCCTCAGATGGGAGGCAAGCTCCTGTGAGGGGAGGGGAGTTCATAGCAGAAGCAGTGCAGAGGGCTGAAGTCCCATGAGGTGGCTGTGTTAAACTGCAATGCCCAGGCAAAGTGACCAGATGTTCAATGGGAAGGTAAAAATTGGCTGTGCCCAGCATGCAGTGTGGCAGCTCAACCTGGTCATGGTCAACAAGTACTGCTTGACCCCCAGAGGAATGCAAGTCAGAGACTGGTATGGGGGGAGGATGACTCCCAGAGGCACACAAGTCAGAGGTCATGGGAATTGAGGAACAGTAATTCCAAAACTTCCTTGGGCAATGAAATGACATCTGGAATGTTGATCAGTTCTCTAGCCAGGGAGAGACGACAATCCAGCAACACCAAGTTGGAGGACTGTGACCAGAACACCTAATTCTAGTCCACTGGTCATCAGCACCAAGCCTGCCATGAGCATGTCTGGTTAGCTGGCAGTGATAGATGAAAGCTGACCTTTTGATACATGATAGGCAAGAACAATGACACAGACAAGGGGTGAAAATGATGCAGATTTTACAGTAACTACAAGTACATAGCCACATAATTATGCTTGTGGGGGACAGGGGGGAAGTGTGGATGATGATGCAGATGATAATGCAGATGATGACAGGAATAAGTGGCTATTGCCCAAGCTGCAAATACTGCGAGGATTTTTCGGAATAAGATGGAGGATGATAGGGAAATGACCAAAGTTATCAAAGAATGACTGCATGTAAAATAATGCAAGCCATTTTTCCACTGCATAAACATGCACTGGTGAGGCTGATGATGGAAGTGAGGTTCCCAAATCTGGCAGAAACCCTGGCCACAAAGTGAGCAACATCCAGAACCTCTCAACATATTCCAGCTTCATTTGGGGTTCTAGTGAGGCCAGACCTCGATCCTTAACCAGGAAGGGTTCAGCAAACATGGTAAGCTCCAAATCTCCTGGGAAGATCTGCATAAAAATTTAGTAAATGGATTCTTTTGAGGTGCAAGGAAAAAACTTACCTGACAGACTTGGTCCAGCTGCTCAGATTCCACACTTGACCAGAGGGTGGGCACCAGCAGACAGTCCAGGGCGACCAGCTCAAAGCAGAAATTGTGCTTGTACAGGTCCCAGAGAATCTTGCCCATTGTTGCTGAGTCAATGGTAGTGAGGTCTGTGAGATCAATTGTAATGTTGCAGAACTGCACATGACTCAGTACATCATGCTGAACCTTCATGATCTCTGGACCAAAGATATCAGCAGCTTCATGTATTTGGTTCCCAGAAAAACTGATTGAAATACAGTCAGGAATTGTGTTAACACACCACAAATGGGGAATGACAGGGGATGCATCCAGATCAGCAAGTCACATGATCCAACCTGCTTGGGCCACCAACCAATTCCAGAGGTACCTCTGCCTCCACTCCAAGGACTTGCCTCTCATAAACTGGCATGAATTCTCTTGGGGTCCTTGTTGACATCAGTAAGTGCAGCATTCCACAAGTAAATGTGAGTGGGGAAGGCAGGATCATCAAAATCCTGTGTCAAGTCGACATTTGGAGCAGTGGAAGTCTTGGCCTTCTTTGAACCTGCAGAATTATCTGAGCAAATGGTTGTAAGCATAAAGATCTTGATCAGTAACAAAACACCCACAAGGACCACTGTGATGTTTAGCCCTATCTGTTCTGACAACTCCTGAGGCAGAGCCTGGCATGCTGGAACTTGCAGTATTCAAGGCCACTGAGCCAGAGGTTGTGGAAGTCGACACCATGGGAATTGGGTCTGGCCAAGGCACTGCAAATTGCTCAAGACCCACTACTGGAGCTTCATGGGTGTGGACATGCATAGGATTGCCAGGGTAATACCACCTAGCATTCCACTTGAGCATTTGGCTGACCTCAAACTCATCTGGGGTAGTGATAATGCCCTCTTGGCATGTAATGTCAACCTCATGATGTATCTTCATATCCTTTGGCACTAACTCTGGCTTCCAGACTAGCCATATGGGGATGCATGCTTCAAAGAGTCACTTGCAGACATCAGGATCTGTGGTAAATGCACCCATCCAACACTGTCTTGCATTAAAAAATGGGCCAGAAGGGGGGGTAATTTTTATCTCAAGGGAGTCTACCATAGTGTAAATATCCAGACAAAGATGTTGGAAGAGTGCAACTAGGACCACCATATCATGGTGAATGGGAGTTGCTATGGAATTGTCAACTATTGAAATATCAGACAATGAGATATCATACCTTCAGACGCATGAGAGACCTTCAACATTGCCTAATCCATATGTGCACCCAGAGAGGTCCTTCATCATCAGGGTTCTTTGGTGGCCAGTTCTTTGCCTGCTCTTCTAGTCACTTATACATGATTTCCAGATGCTTCCACTTGTCTGGATGAACCCTACCAACCCTGAATTCTGATCCTCTCTCCAAGGCGAAGTCTTCCAGCACATTCCTAATGTTCTGCCACATCCAAGACCATGTCAGGTCATCCTGATAGACCGCATGTCGAGGGATACATCCAGCCCACATATAATGCTCAGCATATAGTTGAGGCCACTGGAAACAGTTGATGTGGCCAAATCAGCTGTCATGGCAGAGTGTGATTGTCCTCCCCTTGAAGAGAAATGGTTTGGGAATGAAGTCAGCATTAGGAGAGGTGATCCAGTGGTCATTATATTTCGCAAGAATGCATGCATTGAAGGCACCATAATTCCCTGAAAGAGAATGCATTGGTTATGAGCCACATTAGGTTAAATAATAGAGCACACCATCACCCAGTTGGGTTGCTGCTGTGACCTGTTGAGTGTGTTCTTGAGGCATATCAATCCTATAAATGAAATAAGAACTGAAATATGCAGCATCTTAGTACAGATTCCACTACAGGGTCAATAAAAATGTGCCCAGGAGATAAGAGGCATTTGAAGGGGGGAGGAGATAAATAAAGCAATATGGCTATAGTAGAATTGTTGAAGCATGCCCTGGCACCAAGTCAGAGTACCAGCCACAACATGGAGTCACATCATCCAACATTCCTCTGACAACACTAGCATTGCTGGTATCTGTGAGACTGTCAAGGGGGAGATAAATGAGAAAACAAGTGGATCACGCATCTACATGGTATATAGAACCTTGCACCCAATGAAGATTTCATGCACAGATGCTGGGCACACAGTCTTCAATGCCCTGAGTTGTGCTATGCAAGGTAGTGCCTCCACAAAATGGAGTCTCATCCATGTGACTGGTACCACAAGCATGCCAAGTTTACTGAGATAGGCACCAAACCTATCTCAGCACTCAAAGGGCACCAAACCCTTCGAATCCTGGTGGAGGAATGCACCAAACATTCCTCTCTGCAACATGAATTGATAAAAAGAAAGAAGAAAGAAGAACTCACCTTAGACAGTAGCATGAAGGTGGTCATGGATTAAGACACATGGATCATTTGAAGGGCTTGCAAAAGAAGTGCAACAAGTGCAGTGAGCATGTGATCATTACTGCATTAAGTCAGAGCTGACTTAGCATGAAAAATTTGCTGTCAGTGTGTGTGGACTATTTGGTGGTGGCAGTGCCATGGCAATGTTACAATGCTGCCAGTATGCAGTCAGGTTCATGCATGTGGGGCAGGCTCATTGGTGCCTGAACCTAATATATAACATATGTTGTAATGCCCCCATGTTCAATTCACAGAGTCCCAGAGGAAATACCGACAAATTAATTGTCATAGGTGTGTACTTAGTAACCAAACATACACGATGTTGACATGTTCACACACTTCTTTCCCTTCTCTACTCTCCACTCTCCACTCTCATTATCAATCCTACACCAGGGGAACACTTGGTGCCCTTGATGGCTCTCAAAGGCTTGGAGCCTTTGAGAGTCATCTTGGTATGGATTGGCTGTTGGTTGTGCAGACAAGACTCCATCTCATGGAGGCACTACTTTGTATAGTGCAACTCAGGGTGTTGAAGACTGCCAGCTTTCCTTGGCTACCCTGGAGTCCATCTTTTACTTCCCAAATGAGACTCAGCTGTTCATGTTACCTGCTGGTGAGTTCGAGGCTTGCATCTCCCTTAGACATTAATCAAGTTTCTCTTCACTTTCTCAAACTTCCTGATCAACACTACATTCTCTCCATCATCTGTTAAGGTTGACATTTGTCCTTGGCTGCCCCCATCTCTGCCTTCTCCTTCTCAGACAAGACTCTGTTCACTTTGCCCATTGGTGAGTTCAAGGTTTGCATCTCCCTTCCTTGGCTGATTTCCAATTGTCTTTGTATAGGGACACCAATCAGGTTTCTCTTGCTTACTTTCTTACTTTCCTGGTTAAGGCAGCATTCTCTCTGTCATCTATTAAGGCCAATAGTTTTCCATGGCTACCCCCAGCTCTGCCTTGTCCATCTGAGACAAGACTCCTTCACTTTTCCTGCTGGTGAGTTTGAGGCTTGCATCTCCCCCTTCCTTTGCTGATCTCTGATCATCTTTGTATAGGGATGCTAATCAGGTTTCTCTTTCTCGCTTTCTTACTTTCTTGGTTAATGCAGCATTCTCTCCATTATCTATTAAGGCTGATGGTTTGCTGTGGCTACCCCCAGTTCTGTCTTCTCCTTCCAATACTAGAGTCTTTTCAATTTGCCCACCAGTGAGTTCGAGGCTTGCATCTCCCTTCCTTCACTGAGCTCCAACCACCTTTGTGTGGAGATGCTAATCAGGTTTCTCTTCTTTGCTTTCTTACTTTCATGGTCAACAGTATGTTCTCTTCAACATCTATTATGCCAGGGGAACATTTGGTGCATCCCCCACCAAGTGCCAGGGGCTTGGTGCCCTTGGCAGCTCTCAAAGGCTTGGAGCTTTTGAAAGTCATCTCAGTATGGATATACCCTAAACTCTACCTTTTCATTTCCCAAGGATATTCTGTTCATTTTACAAGCTGGTGAGTTCGAGGCTCACTTGTTTCCTCAGTTCCTGATCCCCAATTACACCTGTGTAGGGATGCTAATTAAGTCTTCCTGTCCTTCCTAGTCTTGTCTCTGCTTCCATCATAGGAGCCATGAACGAGTAAGTGTTTAGCCTTTGCATCTATTCTGTTAGTTATATTCTTTACCTGGGGCACACAATGATCCATTTAATGAGAGTGTAATTATGACATCTCTACAGACCATGCATGCAGGATTCATTGAGGTGGATCCTATGTGTTATTCCATGGCTGCTAACAAATGGGGAAGAAGAACCTTCTGTTGGAGATCTGCCTATTGACTTGCAATATTGTCTGTGTTTCTCTCCCTCTCCCTTCCAACCCTCATCTCACAATGTGCCAGCCACCCTCACTTGATAATGGGTGAAGCATGAGCACCATCAACCTAAGTGCATGATTTTCTAACCACTGTCTGATAGCTAATGTTCAAGGGTTATGCAGGCACTCTAATCACTATTGTTTCGCATCTTGAACTGAGCACAGTCGATGCTGCAACCCTTGCCAACATCCTACTTTCAAGATCCCAGTGTGAAGGTGGGCAATTTTCCAAGATTTTTGTTCCTTGACAGTAATCATCTCCCATAGCACCATCATTTCCATCGAGTTTGGCTCCCTCAACATCGTCATCCTGTCAGGAGGGCACTGCTGCGGTCCCTTTCCTCCCCTTTTCCCCCATCAGACTGGAGGCCCCCACTCCCCCTGTATCAATCCATCTAACATCTGCTGACACCCCTGACTCTGCCACTGTTCTTGTCCATGGACATCTGGACATGGAACCAAGGGATCCATCCCTGGCAGATGAGTGTTGGCATACTTCAACTGGAGTATTTTTCATGGTGACCCTGTAAACATACCTGTTTTGTATAAAGCTTTGCTTTTTATTTTTAATTCTTAATTTGGCTCAAGTGTAACCAACAACATGACTACTAACAGATTTTCCACCTAGTGCAGGTAAGTGGAGATATCGCAAATACAAAGGTTTCAAGATTGGGATTTGTTCATGGATGTGTTGTTACTGACCTCCATCCATTCTTGCCCCGACCATTTGGCATTGGTTGTCCACAAGAGTTGAGGGCTTGGTGCCCTTGGGGGTTTGGAGCCTTCGAAGGCTCTCATCAATTGCATCTATGAGACCCTTGGGAACAGAGTCATGGCATCATCCAAGCCTTTCCATTCACCATCATCACATGTGTATCATATTACTAAGTGGTACATATTCCCTGTGTCTTGGTTGTTGCATCTTCCTTACTGTTCTCTTGCTGTTCTGGCATTTACTGATGTTTCATTGTCAATTGCACACATGAAACCCACACAAACAGAGCTCATCTTCTGAGGCTCTCCATTTACTGCCATTGCACATGTATTCCATTACCAAGTGGCATTTATTCCCTCTGTTTTGGGCCTTCAGGGGTTCGAGTCTCTGCTTATTAGCAATGTATTTCCTCTGTTTTCATTATTACATCTTCCATTCTGCTCACTACCATTGCATGCATATGTTATTACGAAGTGGTACATACTCTTTCTGTATTGGTTGTTGTATATTCCTTATGGTTTGTTCCACCTGGTATTTATCACGATATGGCATGACACCAATCTTCTTTTCTGATATTTTCCTTTTGTTCCACTCACTACTCATGTAATAACCACAAGCATCATTATTCCATCCCAACAACCTGCCATTTTACTGAATAACTCCATGGGTTTTTTTATGTCAGGTAAGGCATGACTTTACTTAAATACCTCATCTGACCACTTTTCCCCTCCTCCCCCATCATTCTTGACATGCCTCACATGCCAAAAGGTGTTGACCAAGTCATGGATGACTCTATGGATTTGCACACCTGGGTTCTTTGAAACCACAAAATCCCCACCACAAAGATGGCCCCTCCACCAGAGGTAAGTTAGTTATCTTGTCACCATCGATCCCATCTGACCTCTGCCTTCACAGATCAAAAAAGACAAGCCCAAGCCCTGGCACACAGTACAACTGCCTGAAGGATGGAAAGAACATATGTTCAGTCTCCACTGACAGGAGGAGATCACTCACTCCTAGTGTCTCTGTGTCCTCCCAAAATTCCACTACCCCGATCTTGCAGGAAGACCAGGTCAAGGGTGCTCCAATGGAGGAGGATGCTGGTGAGGCTGAGGCCAAGGAGGTTGAGGTCAACATTCAAGCTGATGAGGGCAGTCAATGTCCTGATGATGGGGCTAGTCAACTTCTGGATGATGAAGGTTCTTTTTTTTTTGAATATTTTCTCATTCTCTCACAGTTCTGTAGATGTTGCATTGTTATATCCTTGACTCTGGGGTTTGGTGCCCCCCACTTCTCTCATCTGACTGTGGGTTCAGTGCCCAATGGTCTAAAGCTAGGCGCTTTGGATCCTCATGAGAGTTGCCAAGTGTCCTGTGTCATTTTCACTTTTTTTTCTAGACACTTTGTTATCCTTTGATGTGTCTTTTGTCACACTTCAATGTATTCTCTTCTGATATTGATGTGCTCATAGTAGATGAGGACAGTTCTGAATCATCACTTCCTCCATCTTTGCCACCAGCTGAAAACTCCAGTTCTGATGCCAAGGATGAGTTTCCCCCCACATTGTCCTGGTCACTGTGTGGAACACAAACCTAAAAGCAAGGGCAAAAGTAGGGCTATGGATGTTGACAACAGTGATATAGTGAGTCAGGATGATCATGAACCCACCCAGAACACAAAATTTAAGAAGACTGGGAACTTGTCCTGTGCTGCTCTTGATGAGATACATGACTCTGTGGCCAAAGTCAAGGCAAAAGCAGAAGAACTTGGATGTAGACATGGCAAGTCTCCTCATGACATCCTTGTTGCTGCTGGGCTCAGTGTCAAACCATCTCACACAAAGCTCAATGAGGCCAATCTCTTCTGCTTGTGGTATTGGGCCACCCAACCAAAACCTGATGGTGGTATGCATGCCCTTGTCACAGATTTTCTTTTATAACATTCTTCCCAGCCAACTGAAACACAGTCAACAATATCATTACAGTGGAGTACAACCAACTCATGAAAGATATCCCCAAAGATGACACTGCAGCAAGAAAGGAGAAGTTGAAGGCTGTTTATGAATGTAGCAAGAGCTCCTCAGCAGTGCCCACTAACAAATCAGTCAAGTCCATTGCAGTCAGAGTCCACAATGCGAAGATGCAGTTCTCCAGATTGGTAAGTGGTTGTAAGTGGGTGGATGGGGGGCAGATCTTACTGTCAAGCAGGCTGAAGTGTGGTGAGCTCTTGAAGAAATCAAAATTGCCAGAGTTGTGATGTACATTGGACAAGACCCTGCAGGATGCCAGACCTCTGGCATATTTGGTGGTTCCGAATATCATATGAAAGTACATCAATGATTGTGCCATTGATGTTTGGGGACTTATGAACAAGTACACTGCAATATTTAAGTAAGTGATGTTACACATATCTTACTTGGACTCATTGCAATTAGGTGTCTCTGAGATGGTAATGGTACTGAAGCTGGGTTATTAGGGGCGAGTGCTTCTGCCAGTTCAGCTGTGGCATTGGAGTTGCATTGTTGAATGAAGGAGATGCCAAGAGATTGCAACTGCTGGGTATTTGGATCTATGATAAAGGAGAAGTTGATAATGGTGCTCAAAGATCTACACAGTATGTATTTCTAATATTCTGTATATTCTCTTCTAATTGTCTTCCCATAAGTGACACATGGGGTCAAAGTTGGTGATCCCCAGAAAATCATTTGGCAGTGGCTTCTTGAGTTTGTTAGGAGGAACTCTCTCATCATAATCAACTGGCTGCTTGGGGTGCCTCCACCAGGCCCTGGTTTTGAGTACAAGAAACTCAAAGCTGACACTCTCCACCAACTTGTGGTACCTTATCTGCAGAGAAAGCTAGGCTCGATGTACAATGGACAATCTGATGATGACGATGACAAGAAAAATGATCATCTGGATGGTGTGCTGGAGGTCAAAATCAAACCCTGGAATGAAGGTATTGTGTACATTTTTTGTCTAACTGATCACTGACCATTTTTGCAGATGTCATCAGCATAGGGGATGCACACCCATTAAAGGGAGAGATTGCACTGGTCAAGGCTCCTGATGGCACAGTTTTGTGCAAGGTGTCTGATGATCCTGAGTGGCAGAAGTCTCATGAAGAAGGGGATCCAGGTATGGTGGCACCTCATGCACTGAGCAGAATCCTGTTTCCATCACACAAGTGGCCTTGTGTGGAGGTGATGGATAATGACACAGTTCCTCATGAGGTGAGTCAATCCACTCAACCTTTGGTGTCTACTAATGTTCCCCAAGGCTTCACACTCTGACCACCAAATGCCCCTGCATGAAAAAGGCAGGGATGCATGCCCCATCACTGGTGACCATGGTGTAGTGGTTTACCCTGCTGCATTTTGGTCAAAACTAACAGGTGACATGCACAGGATGCACTTCATGACCCACCAGCACACACAAGCTGCAAGAACACTCGAGAGTCTGGTCAATCTGAGTGCCCCTTGCCAGCTCAGTGCTATGGGGTGAGGTCTGGACATACCAGTTGGTTAAAAGACTAATGGAGGACTGCACAGGATCTGCATCATGATGCTGTCCCAAGCCATTCACACCTGCAGGACCCTGGCCCTTCTCAGCAGTTTCCACTATCTTGACATTATGAGGTGAGTATCCCAGGCATTCTGCTTCTTGAAGGAGACCAATAGGATGTCCTGCAGGACCCTCATTATGACTGTGCCAACTATCATGATCCTGGCCCCTCCAATGTTCCCTACAATGTTTGTGATTTGATCCTTCATTGTCACATTTTGTTTAGCTTCTCTATAGGTATTACCACCTGCCTGTCATGGTTCAGGGCATTTCCCTCCATCCTGTCAGACATATCACATACCATCTCACCCTGACCATCATATTTACCATGATGCTCCATATATCTCTGACTACTACCCTGCAGCCCAGCCCACAGCACAGCAATGGGTTGACAGAGGTAGTGCTGCACAGTATGAGGACGAATTTCCTGAGGATTACTTAGATTATTAGTCTCCTCAGTATTTTCTTTAGAAATACATGTTTGTTTTTCCATGATAGGGTGAGCAATGAATGAATGAAATCTCTCAGTTCTCTGTCATTTTGAATGCAAGAGCATTTGTGTCTGCTTGACTGTTATTTTGTTACCTCCTGTGGCCACACTGCCATATTGCTGCTCACTTGATCTACCAATGAATTTTCTACTGATCGACATTCTACAGGGAAGATGCATCTACTCAAAATACTGTACTCTTGTTTGAAGAGTTTGAGCTGCAGGGAGCTGGGTCAAAAGGACATTTGTGGTGAAGCTTGGAGGCCACACCTACAGATAAAGGGGCCTCCAGCAATGGGGAGGGGATATGGTGACATTAAGCAAGTGTTGATGTGGTGATCACTGACTGACAACTCTCCTAGTGTCACTGTGTCCAATGGCCAGGGGCTCCGGTGAATTCTGCAGCCTGTTTTCCTGTGTACTTTATCTATATTTTATTACTGTGATCAAGTAAGTGTTTTTCCCTGGTGAGTTGAGGGAACTGAGTGGAATTCAAATGGAATTGACATGATTATCTTGATATTGCCCAAGTCCCTTTAATCTGAAGTACTGCTAACCTTGCCTCAACACCACTTTCAATCCTTGCTTTCCAACCTTCCCACCCCCCTCACCATGTGGAAAAACCCTACCTGTCAAACTTGAAGGAAATTGAGTTTTGAGTGTTTTTATTCCCCTCAAAATTCAGGCCATCTACCCATTATTTCAGGGAAACATCTTATGCTTACTAATCAGGTGTTGTTATCATCATCAGGATACTACAGTTCTATGTTACATGCAAGCAGTGTAGAGCTGCAGAGGCTGACTTCTGGATTTATTTTGGTCTTGTCTGGGTTCTCTCATTAACTTTGCCCCATAAACATTGTTCAATGCTTTTTCTAAGAGCCTATTTTTGTGTTGAGAATTAATCTACCTGCATTGCTACTAAAACAGGTCTATCTTTTATCAGACCCACCATGTTGTTACCATTTGCAGCTGCACAATTTGCCCCCATTTAATCTGTGACATTGGCCCTTCACTGTGCTCTGTGAGTTAGTATGAAAAGTAGATAACATTACCTGTGCAATATGTCAATACAGACCTGCATGGTGGATCTGGTTGTCTTGAAGCTGCCACAAAATTGATTTGAGAGCATTTTGGTATTCTGACATATGTATAGTACATGGACATCCTACTGGCCTCTATGGAGAAGGGTGGAATGTCCAACTGGCCTTCAGAGGGGGGAGTGGGATGTCCCACAGTAGCTTCCAAAGCTACCATGGGACATTCCATTGGCCTATGGAAGGGGGGGTGGGATGTCCCACAGTATCCTCCAAAGCTATCATGGGACATCCCACTGGCCTCCAGAGAGGGGGGGGGATGTCCCACAGTAGCCTCCAAAGCTATCATGGGATGTCCAATAGTAGTCTCCAAAGCTATCATGGGACATCCCACTGTCTATGGAAAGGGGGTTGGGATGTCCCATAGTAGCCTCCAAAGCTAGCATGGGACATCCCACTGGCCTCCAGAAGAGGAGGGTGGGATGTCCCACAGTAGCCTCCAAAGCTATCATGGGACATCCCACTGTCTATGGAAAGGGGGTTGGGATGTCCCATAGTAGCCTCCAAAGCCAGCATGGGACATCCCACTGACCTCCAGAGAGGAGGGTGAGATGTCCCACAGTAGCCTCCAAAGCTATCATGGAACATCCCACTGACCTCTGGAATGAGGGTTGGGATGTTTCACAGTAGCTTCAGAAGCTATCATGGGACATACCACTGGCCTCCAGAGAAGGGGGTGGCATGTCCCATGGTAGCATCTGATGCTCTCATGGGACATCTCACTGACCTCCACAGAGGGGGTTGGGATGTCCCAAAGTAGCCTCCAAAGCTATCATGGGGCATCCCACTGGCCTCCAGAGAGGAGGATGGGATGTCCCACAGTAGCCTCCAAAGCTATCATGGGACATCCCACTGGCCTCCAGAGAGGGGGGTGGGATGTCCCACAGTAGCCTCCAAAGCTATCATGGGACCTCCCACTGGCCTTCAAAAATGGGGGGTGGATGTCCCATCATTGCCTCTTGGTTGTTCTACATAGATGACCTTGATGAACATGTGACTAAAGGTGGGATTGAACCAGCACTCTCCTGGGTGTTGACCTTGTGGTTTAATCACTGAGCTATATGGTTTGAGTACTAATGTCAGTTGCTTTGGGGTTAGATCAGAACTTTGGGAATAATTGTCCATGAAGAGTAATGCACAGAATGCACCATCTCCAACAGACTTCAGTGGCCTTTGGCAACACAAGTCCACCCTTCCTTTGAGAATCAACAAAGTTCAGTTTTCTGCCCATCCTGGCTGGATAGGTACTTGAAGCACATGGTGGTCCACTGGAGGGCCTTACAGCCCAGGGTCATAATGGGACAGTAGGGTTCTCACATGCTTGTGCCCCACAATTGTGTCATGTATTGTGCTACAATCTATTCCTTGGCTGGGAAGGTCTTCCACTCATCCTCATTCAATGCATTTAGTATGATCTTATTAATGTGTACTCCTTCTATAAGCAATGGAACTTACTCATAGGACAGTGCTGAATCTGTTAAAATTTATACAATGATGCAAGGCTCACATCCAGAAGTATTGTATGATTCTGGAGATGACACCTCACAATTGCACTGATTTCCCACCTCAAATCTGTGCATAATAAGTGTACCAAATGGTTTTGGAAAATCAGTGGCTGCCACATACATAGGCCCCTACTTTTCCAGGTATTTTCATCATCCTAGATGATTGTGATAGCTATGGTTTCTTGGTCAGAAGTGGGATTTCAGTGTGAATATGAGCTGCACTTTTGCAGTTGAGGACCCCTGGCACCTAAGGCAGCCATGGGACAGCCCAAAATATATTACCAGGGGGCTGGGATTATGGGACATCCCAGGTCCTGCGCACTGCAAATAGCCCTGGGACATGGCCAGATGTCCTTGGGATGACCTGGTCTGAGTGGCTTTTAGCTTGGATGATTTGTAGAAAAACTTCAGCCTAAATGCTTATGAAAATTGGTTACCTGAAGTGGAATGAGCAGTGTGGCAGAAGTTCAGTAGCCTTGTCTTTACTAAAGACATTGGCAAACTTGTGATACTCAGGAGGGCCAAGGAGAGGTCAGGAGACAGAGAAGAAGCAGAGGACACACAAAGCTTCACATCATCAGCAGAGAGCTGTAAGCAGAACTGTCTAGAGCCAGGGAGAGCACAGGCTCTGACATACACAGCAGCATTGATGAGTGAGACAAGCAGAGCAGAGTGTGGTGAGTCTGTCAGAGGTGCAGACAGAACTGCAGATGGAGTGGAGGTCACAGCAGAAGGTGATGAAGGCACCTGGGGTGTTGGCATTCCCTGTAATGATGGTTTGAACAATATACTGCCCAGTACCCAGTCAATCAACAGATTGAAGTGGGTGAGCCAGTTGTGTCCTAATACCAGCAAACATGAAGAATCCAACAGAGTAACATAAAATGAAACAGAGTTGACATTGCCAGAAGGAAAGTGGAGGGAAAGATCTACTTCTTGGGAAATGACAGCATTTGTACTACCATCAAACAAGCAGAGCAGAACTGGTGGAGAAATGGAGGAAACAGGAATAGCATATTTTTTGATTATGGATGGGTCTACAAAACAATGAGAAAAGCCAGAATCAATCAATGCAGAAAAAGTATCAACAGAGTAATCAAGAAGAGTTACAGATGGAAGTAATGAATTGGGACTAGAGAGAGCAGACACATTGAGTCAGATGTCCAGTTGTGCACAGTTGGGATCAACACTTCCTCCAGGCTGTGCGAGCTCCCTGGAGGAGCAGACTAATTTTTTGGCTCTGCCTTCCCCATGGGGGGAGGAGGCAGAATTCCAGCCATAGCTGCATGCACTTTGGCTGTGTGAGAGGTAGACTTGGGACAGTCCTTAGCAGAGTGGCCAGCCTCACCACAGAAGAGGCAGAGGTTGTTCTTCATCCTATGCTGGCATTCAGCAGAGGTGAGTTTGCCATCCTTGCCCAGAAGATGGGCAATATTGGACTTGGATGCATTGGACTTGGGCAGATCTTTCTGTTTGCCCTTGCCCTTGGTGTCAGACCTTGGAGTGGAGGTGGAGGACAACAATTTAGACTTGTTGTTGGAGCTGGAAGGCTGTGACTTGTCAGTGGTGGACTTGGTGGTGTGCAAGATCTCTGCTTTATGCTCCCAGTAGCATGCATCGATGGTCTGAGCAAGTTTGTGGAGTTATGTGAGGGTAGAAGGTTTTCCTACATGAGCAATCTCATCCTTGATATGGTCTGGAAGTCTGCTATAAAAGCAGTGGCAGAGTGCACTGATACTGTTGTCTTTGACCTGTGAAGCCCAGCAATTGAACTCCATGATATATTTGGTAATTTGAGAACCATCTTTCATAGTGAGGTTTTCAAGTTGTTGGATGGCATCCACTATGGCATCATGCAGACCAAAATTAGTTGTGAGCTCTTGTAAGAACTTGTGATAGTTGTCCATCCAGAGCAGGCAGTCATAATTGTCGGGGTTTAGTAGGTCTGGCTTGAACCAAGCCAGAGCCATACCCTTAAGATAAGACTGAGCAAAGGTAACCTTCACTCTGTCAGAGCAGAATGTGCAGGGGCAGTCTTGGAAGTTCAGCTCACATTGTATGAGGAACTTGTGGAGTTTCTTAGGGTCAGAGCCATCAAAAGTGTCAGGCTCGCAGACTTTGGTTTTCAGAGTGGAGTCCCCAGTGTGTGAACTAGACTGCACAAGTGCATGGACAGCTCTAGCAAGAGCTACAAGGGGATCCTCTGGCAGTTCAGCTGGGTCTTTGGGGATATCCCCATCACTGCTGCCCCTGCCATTGGGATCACCATCAGGGTCATCAGGGTTGGGTCCATCATCTCGGTTACAAGGAGACAGAGTATGGAAAGTGGTTGGATGGAGGTCAGAGTGACCAGCTTGCAAAGCACTTTCACCTTCAGCACAAGAGTGGCATTGAGCAGAGAATGATTGGAACTGTTCAATGATGGAAGGGAGTTGACATGGATTAGCTAGTGCAACAGCGAGGTTCTCAGTGACCTCTCTCTGGGATTGAGCTCGAGTTCTCATAATGGTGTAAGTTTTTTGGAAGACAGAAAATGAGATTGTACAAGTGCAAGTACAAATATACTGTCAAGTCCAGGCCTACTCCCACCAACTCCAATGCTGGATGAGGTCTGGGGAGAGGTTCAGAAGCAAGTCCAACAGAAGGAACTGAACTCAAACTGGCAAAGTGTTGGCAGGAACAAAGTCCACTGAGTTAAGGGCAGAGTGAAGTGAGGGCATCAGGTTTAGCTCATGTGCTACCCCCTTGCATGATCTCAGCCCTTGTATTTCAGAGGGAGAGTACAGACAGACAGACAGAGGTAACTCCAACAGACAGAAGACAGAGATAGAGGGAGTAGGAACTAAGTCAATATTCCTACTGAAGAACAGCAGAGTACAGTACATGCTTTTATACTACTACAGAGGTACAGTAACTGGAATTGGAACTGACATATGGAGACTCATAAAACTTCAAGTAAAATTTCCTAGATGACAAATGAAGGGTAGACAGAGGACATATGAATGGGTAACACAGAATATCCCAAAGAGGAAACAGTCCAGGTGCTAGACCATGCAGTGCATGTGCTGCAGAGTCCCTGACCATGCACTGTCAGGGAGAAGTCCGAAGGGTAGTCACATGACTCCTCAGAGAACAGCCCATGCAGTCTGGTAGGAGAGCAGTACAAGTCCAACAGCAGTCAGAGTGGAGATGACTTGTAAACATCAGGGGGCAGGTGGAGTTGGTGTGGAGTGAGCTAATGACTGGCAGAAAGGGGTGTGGAGTGAGTGAGGACTTAGGATGAACACATGGTCATGACACTCCTTACTTAATGATAATTCTGTTCAAAATACCCAAAGACACATCTAAAACAATTCCACAGTCTGTTTACACTACTGTACATGTACTTACATATCCTTGAGCTGATCCTTCACCCTCTTCAGCTCCTCATGTCACCCCTGAACTGCACCGATCTGCTGCTCTACTTGTGTAGCCAACAGCCCCAGCATCTGATGGATCTGGGTCAGCTTGAACTCTTCATTGTCTGCCCTGTTCTCCAGAAGTCAAATGCACTCAGCAAGAGCCCTGCACATAGTCATATCACCCAGGTTTGTGACTGGTGGAGTTTCTTCGACTGGGGGAACTTTGGACAGGTCCTCTGCACTGACATCAGGTGCAGGTGGATTGTCCAATAATCCAGTCAGTCTACCAAAGAGTCCACCATCACCAAGGTCTCCCAGATTGTCCATAGGTGGCAGAGTTGGCTCAGGGTGAGGTCAAGGTGCAGGGGTTGCTGACAGAAGGAAAAGAGGTGGTCAAGGTGTGGGAGGAGGCAAGTTTGAGGTCAAAGGGGGACTAGCATGAGGTGTTGGGTGCCTGGGAGTTGGTTTGGAGTTTTGCCTAGGGGGTGGTTTGTGAGCAGGGATTCGAAGTTTCAGCCCAGTCATTGCTGGAGTTTCAGTCATCACCATCACTGTTACTGACTTGGTCCATTTGTGCGACAACCCAGCAGCTGTCTCTCCACTACCAGTGTTCTTGTGCTGTGTTATGGTTCAGTGCCCTCATTCTTCATGTCATGATCAGCTTGTACTCACCTTCCTACCCACTCTGAGTAACCAGCTGCACTTCCACTTGGCCTGCCTGCATTGCTCACATGACTCCCCAGGTGGCCCTTTGCACTCTGCATCTACCTTTGTGTACTCCCTGCATGGAAGGTTGGCTTCAGGTGCTGGAGTGCCAGTTTTCAATGGGTCTGGGTTAGGTGGGCAGTCACCTTCATCATTCTCCAGCTCATTGACTTCATCTGTGGCCTGCAGAGTTTTTCTGAATGTTAGCCATCGTTCTTGGAGTCTCCTGGAGGGTAGGATGTACCTTTTCCTTACTCTTCCCCTTGCCTGTACTATCTGTCTGTGGCCTCACTTGTCCTCCAGTCCCCCTTGAAGACTCCCCTGCTCCAGTGTCACTGGGCATGCAGCTTTGACCTTCACCTATTGCCATTGCTGCCTGTCTGCATGTGCACATAGAAGGTTCTCTTGTCAACCTCTCTGCCTCGAGCTGCACCCTCAACTCTACCCTCTCCTGGTAGTCTTCAAAGATGTTGTCAATGTGGATCCAACTCTGCTCCACTGGGCACTGGAGGTCAGTGATGGTGATGGCACCTGGGACTAGAAGGTTTTGGCACATTGCAGATTCCTTGGTGTAGTCATGCATGCACTTGTTGTGAACCTTTGGTATGGAAATTCTGTTGTCATCAATGTATCTCTACCATGAGTGAATGCTGGCCTGCAGAACTCTGTCAAAGCACAACACACTACCATGGAAAGGTTTACTCACCCATGTCTTGTCCCAGTCCTCCACCCATGCATAGATGGTCTCCAAACTCTCCTCTGGCCATGGTGCCACCTTGATCAGGTCCCAGACATGCCCTAGAGCTGCAGCGAGTGCCATGGTTGCCTGGTCCCTCATGCTGAACACAGGGTGCATGTTGTTGACAGAGTAAGCTTGCATGGTAGTTGGGAAAGGAAGCAAGAATCTGAGAGCAGGATGGTGGGGTAACAAGGATGAATCTGATGATGAGACAGTTTCTGGGTGAGTTTTTTTTTCTGCAGGGCTGTTGCTGATGCATTATCCATGTGCAGAGTTTTTGCTCACACATGGTGCATGGCCAAACACGAGCCATCTTTGTCTACATCACCTGCCAAATCTCTGCCACCCTTCTGTCATGACTCAATGACCTCTGACTGAGGACAGTCAGCATTTGAAGACCCTGGGAGGTGTAGGGAAGTGGTATACTCCCTGAGGCCGAAATAGGGATGCCAACACCAAAATTCTGCCATTACCAAAGTTGACCCCTATCAGAGTTCCACATCTGTCATCTTCAGAATTATTGCATCAGCCTTGTGCATCAGCCTTGTGTGCCACCCCACCTGTTGAACCTTCAGAGCTCCCCTGTCCATCAATAACACACACCAGTCATTGTCCCAGAATTCCATGTCAACATCAACCTGACATATGTCTATCCAGAATTCCATAGTCATATTGCCTCATCCTTTGCCTCACCATGTAGCTGGGAAATCATGCAGATCATCAGTAATAAACTCTGGTTACCCCTCTCGTTCCTTTCCCACAAATCTTTCTCTGCAATGCAAGAACCCCTTTGCATCTACAGCCTCTATCCTTCATGTATGCTACTCTATGGTATGTGGTAGGCTTGTTCTGTTGAAAGATACCCATCTTTCCCTTTTGTTTCTCTTAGTTACAGCTTTTCAGTTTGTTTTCACATGATTCTGTAGTGCATTGACATCTGTCATGTCTCCCTTTATTTTTCAGAATTTTTACTTCACCTGCCCCACATTATCCCAATCAGTACCTTACTCTCCATGTACTATATAATTCCACCTCAGCAACAGAAAAATACCACCCATCTTTTGGAGTCACTATCCAAGTCATTTGTGTGTCTAAGTGTTCAAAGTGTCTGCTGCGTCCTCTGTGTCTACTGTGTCATCTGTGTTTCTAGCATCAATCTGCATCTACTGTGTCTTTCGTGTCCCCCATGTATCTGTGTCTTGCCTTTGTGTCTCACAAGTCTCAGAATTACTTCCTCATGCCAAGATCATCACTTGGAATTTTGTAAACAAGTCTATTTGGACCCAAATCATCTACAACACTGCAGAATTAAATTCCATGCCCTACATTCAACTTCCTGATCAACTCTACCATTGCATTCTATGTCTCCTTCCTACTCAGCACCCCTTGGGTCGAGCCTAGGGATTACCCTACAGTTTTCCCCCTAATTGCATGCTACCCAGAGGTAGTGTCCCACATCAGAATAGAACATCATCAGGCAGGGCATCAGTGGGTTGGGTGTCTGCTGGGAAGCAATCTGTGAACTCCACCTTAAGTCACATGTCACATTTGGTCAGTTCTTCGATAGCAGCAAGGGCCTCAATGCAATGTTGTACTGTGCCAATGATATCTACCCCACAGACTGGGGTGGACACTACCTCCACAATTTCACAATACTTTGGCAAAATGCTTTGCAACTCTGTAAGAACCTCACTCTTAATTTTCTTAACAGTCTGGATGGAGGGAGTCACTGGTGGGGGAGAACACACAGAGACTGGTGGGTTTATTAAGTCATAGCCAGTATCTTTACTAATACAAGTATGGAGAGTGTGATTGATAACAAACTCAATATGGGATAGGAATGGAAGGCCCAACAGAAGTGGGGTACACAGCCCAGGTGTGATAATGGCACAAATGGAGTGTGAGCAAAAACATGAATCAGGAGAAAGGCAAGACAGGGTAACATAGCTTCCCAATGACATGACCTCCCTGTCACCAGAAGAAAGGGTGACCAACACATTAAGAGACTTGTGCAATTGATCATGCCAGGGACCAAGCTTCATGGCAAGGGACTCATCAATCAGTACTAGATGAGAACCACTGTCAATAAGCGCTTTTACAGGGAGAGGGAAGGTCACATTAGGTCCTTCAAGAAGACAGGACCAGTGGAGATGGGGGACAGAAAGAGGGGCAACATACTCTTCGCCCAAGTCTGTTCCATCCCCAAGAGTGGCAGAGGGCATGATGACTGCAATAGTGTCCACATCATCTTCCTCTGAGATGTGGGAACACTTCAGAGCTGGTTCATCTTCCACAACTGCCATGATGGGCTTTGCAGCTTCAACATCAGCTTCAACATCAGCAGCAGTCAGCACCTTATAATTCTTCATGTCTGGGAAGTCATTGGGACAGTTGTGTGTGGTGTGGTTCTGGAAAAGATGGTGACACTTGAAACAGCCTGAATTGTCATGGAGAAGCTGATGTTCCTCAATGGTAAGGGCAGGCAGGCACATGTGAGTATGGCCATCTGGCCCCTTCAAGTTTGAAGTTGCAGTATTAACCAAACAGCTTGGCTGGAAGGGTTTCCTCTGGAGGGCTGCATTGAGCTTTGCAGCATCATGGACACATTTCTCATCAAGAAGGTGAACCAGATTGAGCCAGGCTTGGAACTGCTTCTCATGATGAGAACTCATCAAATGATACTCTGCAGTAAGATCAGGATGCATGTGAGACTCTAAATGGAAGTGGAGGTGCTCTTCAGTGAGATGAAACTTGCTTCCTCACAACAAGACATTCAGACTTTCTACTTCAACAGCCCATAGGTGAAAGGCCTTATTACCCTGCATTGATGACAACATCTTTTGCTGGATAGCCTCCGCCCAGTCACTGGGGAGCCAATACAAGCAGACCTCATCCATAAACTCTGAGAAGGTGAGGGCAGTAAGGTGACTGCTGTTGTTGCTGATCCAATCCTGTATGCACAGATCCAGGAGATGGCCAACAACCTTGGTGACTTGGATGTCCTCTGCTATGTTTTTCAACCAGAAGTAATTTTCACAACCCAACTCCCAGCTTCACAACCCTTCTGGGGTGATATCTCCCACTGTCAAGAAGGGAGGAGTCTTGCCAGGAGTGGTGTTTTCACATTGCACTGTCTGAGCCTGTGTTGAGGACATCACAATGGTAGGGAGGACAACAGTAAAACTTGGATGATGAGGAGCTATTCATGGAAGTGGGAGACAGTGGTAACAAGGAGATATGTGAAGGAGAGATGGACAGAGATGGGGTGATGCCAGGTGAGACCATGAGCAGTGATGTAGGTGGCAGGGGAGGAGAGGCAGCAGATGACAGAGACAGCAAAGATGAAGACAGCAGTGATGACAACAGTGTCATGGATGGAGGGTTATTCCCTCAACTATGAGTAGTCAAGGGTATGGGGACAGAGGGGATGCAACAAGATGGCAGTTTGACACCTCTGCTAGGCATTCACATGTGCTATGGCACATTCAAAAAAAGTGGAACTCACCATGGAGAGGTGAGCACACTCAACAGATCACAACAACAACAGAACATGGACAGGCATGTGGATTTGAGCAATCAAGCATATATGCTGATACAAGATGATGGACAGAGAGAGAAGGGGAAGAAAGAGAGATATGACCCATGGACACAGACAGCACCAGTATATATACCCTCAGAGTCCAAACAGTGCAACACAGGAGGGATCTGCATGCCCGGACGAAAGCGTGATAGGAGGTGCGATAGTGTGACATGTTAGCATGAGCGACGTTGGTAAGCATACACTTACACTAATCACACCAATGCGCCGGCCACTTCGTTGCATTACAAGACACTTGGTGTACTCCGTTCACCCGACACATGTAACGTGGATATCAGCAAGGCGATCCCTGTAGGTGGGCTAGTACAGCAACCTTAGTTGCAGTGAATCTGGGAAACCGATAGCTCGTTGAATTGGTCGATATGTCCATCTGGACGACTTGCAACTGGGCGAAGATACTTGCCATAACGCCAGCCCGATGACAGGCAAGTACTATCTCATTCGTCTATCACTCAATTCTCAGATCATCACACCGATTCTGTGGTTTCGTAGGTGATCTATCTTAAGAAATCGAGGAGGCAGCGAGGTAAACCTCGCTGTCAATCTCAACGTCCTTGGCGCCGCAGATCAATTCGTTTTCCTTCCACATAAGATCATCGAAGACCCAGAATCAGCCTTTTTTCCATGTTCTTGACTGTGAGTAATCTGGGGTCGAAGCATCGGTGACACGCTAATCAGACATGACGGAAAGGTCCTTCTTCGGCGTAGAGGGTAAATGCGAAATTGGGGAATTAGGTTAGGATAAATTCACAAGAAAGATGCCTCCTGGTGACGCAAACAGGGAGATGTGAGGAGTTATTTCCAGGTTCCTTTGATGGTTGAATAACGGTGGCAATGAGCTAAGGATGTCTGGAGACAGTGCAGGCGGAGGATCATCCGCCAAGGAGTGCTTGGACACCAATGCCTTTGGAAGACTTAGCGGGGACGATGGGGCTGCAGGGGGAAAAGATGTTAACATGGGCAGGCGATTCTCTCAAGTGAGTTGATAGTGAGGAACTTTTCGTCAAGTTCTGTCCGACGTGCAAAGAGGAACAGGAAGTCGAGGGGCCTGAAGTAGCTGAAGAACATGGCAAATGCCTTGACGAGGGGAGACGGAAGAGTTGGATCCTCTTGATCATGATCATTAATATCCCGCATGTAGCTAATTGCGCGTTGATAATTGTAGTACCCAAATCTGGGACAAACAAGACGCCCGCGACCTCTTGAAGGTGAATCTGGTGCAATAGGAGGTGACTTCCCCGCCGATGCAACAAGAGCGCTGTCACATGTTCTGTGGCGCTTGTCGACCACATCCACACAAATTGGAATGTCGCAGATGAGAGAATCATAGAATGCAGCAGCAGCAGCATCAGCTACAGTGGTTGTGCGAGGCTGGCTATCTGCACTGTAATACTGACGATAGTATGTAGCGGTGAAAAATGCTCCGTCCATGTGTTTTTCACGCCGCACAACTCGGTCGAAGTGTTGAAAATCTGCGTGGGTAGGTGAGGTCGGTGATTTACCTCGTGTGCGTCGATTTGAGGGGGAGGGCCAGGGACACCAGTTGTGTCAATTGAGACGGAGCGATGCACCAAGAACGGAGTAAGAGGCGTTGAATCAGTACATCTCGTAGGCGAGTGCATCCTCCTCTGCAGTCTATAATTGCGTGGTTAGACCATGGGGTGCAATCCTTGTCCCTTTTGGATATTTTAACAGACTGCGGAAGTGAATCTGAATCTGGGTCCGGGTACCGAGTACGTTTTGGTGACGAGGTGAAGCTACCGTGAGCAAGGACCGTGGTCCGTAATGACCACGTACCGCGGGTCGAAGCGGACGATACTTCTCCCGTAAATAGGATCGACACAGCTGCACTCTCAACAGCTACCACAGCTGGCTTAGACATCACAGCCTACGGCAAATGGGTAGGACTGGATGACGTCGGAGAAAAACAGGGAAAACAACAGCTGGGCTTGGTGCTCCATAAGACACTGTTAGGTTGTCATAATCAAACGACTTTGGGATGTCACATTAGCCCCACTTTGCCTCCCAAAGCCAAGCTGTACTTACACGTTATCGGTGGAGGGCAATTGTAGAGCTCCGAGCATATCGTAGGTAGGACCATCCGTGCCATCACAAAACTTTTCTTCCATCTCGTGTTTCATCGTACCATCACGATCCTGTGTCTGCGCCCCGGCCAACTGCGAAGTGGCGAGGCTGCCCTTCCCGTCAACTTCTTTACAAAGGTCGCTGTAACTGGAAGTTCATTTTTCGTTACCCGCGAATTCGCATCTCAGCCTCCGATCCAAGTTCAGCGAGGAAGTCTGGTACATAGGAGAGCTCACTGAGTAGACCTTTGGTCGAAGGGAACATGGTTGCGTGACTATCAGGCATCCTCTTATCTGTAGAGTACGCCCGGGGATCTATGGCACAACCGTAAACAAGGTGGGACGGCGCCGATGTCTTTTAGTGGCATACTTATCGTGCTGATCAGCGTGATGAGCAGAGGGACCTGCCCTGTAGCGTTGTCGATTCATGTCTTCCATATCTTTGCGCAGACTGGCCTACCTGTGCAATCAATATCCTGTGTTTGATGCGGCAGGTCCTTGCGAGTACTTGCCATCATTTCCCCACACGCACATCGAATCTTAGATCCGAGCGCCCTCCCATCAGCCTGGCTCGTGCCAGGTGCATGCAGGTGCACGTTCAGACCACTGCAGAGAAACTTGCAAACGTGACTGTTTTCAGCTGCTTTTCCACAGCCGTTGCCAGAGGCGTTTGGCCTACATACTTTTAGGGCGACTTGTTCAGTTTAATCTTGATGCACTTTCTCATCAACTACTTGATGAACTTGCCGGTGGCGCCCATCCGGTCATGTTTGAAGAGATCTGAGACTCTGCTCGGGTGATTCCACTAACTATTCATTCGTCCAACCCCTCCAATCGCGTGCTTCTTGGTTATCTCCTTCTCGCTCTGTAATATTGCAATCTGTGCTCCTGTTGATGCACGAAAAATTTTCCGACACGCCAATTAACCCTCCGAGTGATAACCCTGCTATCGCAAAACACAAGCTCCAATTCAACATGTCATCAGAATTGTCGTATGGGACCTGGAAACGCAAAGTCCACAACAGAGGGAGCAAGTTTCGCGTCGCAATGTCGCACTTGCCCACTGAAGTGCTCGTTTGACAGAGACTGACATGAATAGATAAGGATACCGTAACCCATTGGATGATGACATGTGTCCCACTTGGTCACTTTTGGGCGCTAATAGGATCCTTATCGGACGACCAGTTTCCCCCGCTATGAAGTCTGCACCTGTGCCAACTAGTTTAAACAAGGCCAGTCCCGATGCTCGTGCAACTCCTTTTAACCCACCCTGAGTCACGTCTCCCACTTCACCACCTTCTCGTTCCGCACTCTCCATGGCTCTTGTCCAGTCCCCTCGGTCCTCCCTCTTCTCACTCCGCGATCCCTCAGTCCGCGATTCGTTCGTGAGTGCCATCGGCAACTGCCAGCCCTGGACTTTAAACTTCTAACTCTGCTCTCGCTTCAGATGTCGTCTGGAAGAGGAGGTTCTGGGAACATCCGTCGCCCGTCAGTGGGGCGCAGCTCACAACCATCCACGGATGCCTCCGACGCCATCTCCTTACGCGAAAAAGAAGGCTCTTCGAGCAGGGTGGGTTCATCCACTTCCGAAGTGCCCACTCTTATAACGGGAACATCCACAGTTTGTTTCTGTCGGTCGGGGCGGGTCCGGAAACATCCAACCACCTTCACCGGACCTAGCGGATCACCCTTTAACCGCCGCCATACTCAGCGAGCATAGGGAGACGGAAAATCGTTATGAACAACAGATTCGCAAACATCACGCAGAGTCGAAGGTGGTGGTGAGTCCGATTTGTGACTACCCTATATGTGATTTTTCTTCATGGAATTATTCTTAGGCATCTTCCGGGAGGGGAGGCATGGGCAACATCAATAACAGCCGTCGCTCAAAGTCAAGACCCCCTTGTTCCACTTCGGGTCGGAAAGGACGCCGCCAATCCTCCGAGCACACGGGTATTGACGCACTGTGAGTTTTTTTTGTGCGATTTCCGCTATTCCCATCGGGTAATCTCGATTTTGACCTTTAATTTCCAGCCATTTAATCAATAGTGAAAGTCTTACGAACGTCACGCTGGACGTCAGGGCCGAGGGGAGTTCGAGGTGTCGTGCTGAGTTCGGAGATAGTGCTCCGTGTTCCCCTACGTCACAAAACTTCCAACAAAGATCTAGGAAAAAGCGGAGCTTTCTCAAAATTTGGAAAAGACCTTCTCATCTGCGACAATTTGTTCCCCCTCTTGAACGCATCGACACCACCAACGATGATGACCAGAAAGATTCAGACTCGTCACTGGACTATCACAGTCTCCCTCTAGCCAGTACGAGTCGTCACTCCGGAGATGGAGCCTCAACAATTTCATCGTATTCTTCCTCCACGTCAAGGAGCATTATCTCAAGTCATATGAGTGTGCAATCCTTGCCGACACTTCCCGAAAATCGCGAGTATGTTTCTTTTTTGGATTTATGATATATACCTCCTGCAGGATCGTTTTCTGCTCTTTTAGTGTATTACTTACTGTATTGCCGTCTGACTATATTGTTGACTGTTCTAAATTGTTTAGGCAGGGTTCGGGTTCGTGGTCTGTTCTTGTTTGAAAGCCGTCTTTCTCAGATCGGCGCTGTGCCGGATCATTTGTAAGACGAGCGCTGTCATTTGTTTGCTATCTATGACGCCCTAGATTTTGTTCCCGCAGATCTGTGGTATCTTGTCCCTTCTCTGGAATTCCCGTTCCGTCTTCTCGACGATACGGACACTAGTATTACCGTCCCTCCGTTTTTTCATCCATCATGTTTCGCGGAGTTGCTGGAGTTCGCCCCATTCACCAGAATTCTTTCCTCATTGCTGCATAACCTCGCACAGCATGGGTGGAAGGTGATTGTGCGACTCTCGGAGCTTGCTATATACCTGTACAGGAAGTGTGCTTCGTACGATTGATGTAATACTGCTCTATGTAAGCGCTGGGCACTGTTATCATCATCATTTATCATACCTGGTTAGCCTCGTTCCCAGCGCAAGGCTCGAAGTGAATAGTTTCTCGCTACCCCAAGTATGGCGAAATGGAAGTGTCTAGGAGCAACATAAATGACGTCTTCGACTGGTCCCACTAACCAGGTATGCACAGTTGGATGGCATGCGGCACTAACTAGTGAACTTGAACAATGAGTAGAGCGTACATAATAATCCCTACAAGTGGAATGAGATCAATTCCGATCGTCTGTGCCTTTACGGTATAGAGGAAAGGATGTCGAAAGATCCTGAGTCATTGGATGATGACTCACGCAATTGCTTGACGCAGGGCCGGCGCAGGTGCCTCATTGAAGTCGTCTTATCTGTCGTGGTTCGTCGGCCCGTGGCGTCACGGTCCCTCCCGGCCATGTCAGGACGGGGTCGGGTGCAGTAAATAGACGCCGATATGCACTCCTATTTTCACGGCGATAACATCCAATATCTGTGGCGGGCTCGACATTCGCCACAAACCTGAATCTCTCAATGATATTGACAGATGCACATGCGTGAACTCTTCGGGATATCCGGGAGGTGATAATATATATGGATTTGCCAAGATCGATAATAGGTGTTATCTCAGAATAAGTGGTGATCGACCGTGCCTTTGAAGTACACCGAGGATCCGGCTTCGAGTTAAGTAGAGGTTCCACGTGGAAGCACCCTAAAGCACCCCACAGCACTAGTGCGGGTGCCGTAAGCGAAGTTTTTTCTCGAGATGTCCCTAGGGTCATCAGGGACTCCCTGAGTCGCGTCGCGAGACCAGGACGTATTAGGATTAACAAGTGGAGACAGACCCTGCCTTTAGAATGAACCGAGACTCCTTCGAGCTGGAGGTTACGTGGAAACACTATAAAGCACTCCACAGTACTAGTGCAGGTGTCATAAGCAAGGGATTCACCGTTATTGGGGAAATTGAGATCTCCCTAGGGTCTTCAGGGACGCATCGCGAGGGCAGAACCACTGTTTCCCTGCATGCAAGGAAGTTTACCAGTGTTAGGAACCACATATATAGTATGTTTACTAAAAGCTTACAAGACCTACGGTCATACCGGGATCATGTTGAGGGTTTAATATTCACACAGTAGCACGACAGGCAACAGCCCAAGTGTGAGGTGCTCCAACTGAATGCTAGGGCACTAACCAGTGCGACAATGTTCTATACCAACAGGGGCAATGGTATTACCAAACTATTAGCGTCCGCCGCGATCTGTGGTCAGCTCGCCACTGGCAGTCGTGACAATGAGTAAACACTCAAGGTACCCACTGAGTCAGCAGCTCGAGTGCTGCAGATAACTGGAGAGCAATGATATTTGCTGCCAGCCCCAGGCACACACCCCTTGATATAAATACATATTTGAGTTTGGCAACAGGTGGTAAAAAGGAGGTCACTTACCTCAGTGAGGGACAGAAATTGAGAAGATACGACCCGTTTTGTCGAGGTCCCAGGCTTAAGTACGGCTTTGATATCCATTGACAGGCACGATGATAGTGGTTCCCAAGAATCCCCTCTCAATGAGAAGAGCGTCTCCAGCCACTGCTACGGCAGAAACCCGTCCCCTGTGAGGAATGACCAATGGTTCTTACCCCTAAATCACCAACCCTGACGCCTCGAAATCATAAATGCGACTTTCTGACATACCTGTTCCCACCGCCGCCCGCCGCCGCTGGACCCAAGTTATGCCAGAAAGGTCAGAGGCATTATGCGAGAATCCATATACACTCCGTTACAACTCACAAGATGTATCTCGCTTCCTGTCGAGGATGCGCTCGGGGGCACTCGGGGTGCGTGAATTCTGACATATCTTTCGGAAGACGAGCTCGGATTGGATAGTGTCTACAACAGTGTAACCTTGAGGAGGTTTTGTATTAAACCGCGTCCACTGAACGGCGCAGACCTGTGAGGCGTGGCTTTGAATGAAAGCAGCAAGACGGCGCTCGTAATATCGCAGTGATCATAACAGAGACCGCCAGTGGCTGAGAATAGTCTGTGCCAATGGTTAGTTTGGTCCGGGTCAGTGTCACCCCATTTCAACTACTGCTTTCCAGAAAACGATTGACGTTCGTTGCTAGTGGGAATCCCCCCGGCGAATCCCAACTCCGTTCTTACCTTTCCGGTGGCGTACACCGCGCGATTGCCGAGTATGTTTGCGAAGCAGCTGGATGTTACGAACATTAAGCATCTATGTATGTGCACGATCTCCGGGACATAATAGTGTTGACAGACAGCAGTATCTTCAAAAGCACTGCAACCCACGTTCTAAATGACCCAAAGGCGAACCTGATATCTGTGCCCCCAAAAATCTCTGAGCGCGTTATGCTACAGAGTAGGTCTTGATTATCGTAGAGACGCTAAATATTGCTGTTTCGAGGTTCATAAAAATTTAAGTGATGACAGAGAACTCGTTGACCTTCATCACTTACCGTTTCAGCATCGGCCACAGCTGCCTTGAACAGAGCAACCTGTTTCCAACATTCCAAGGGTGTCGATTCGTTCGACCTTTTCGTCGAAGTAAGACTTTGTAGGCACAAACGCATATTTTGAGGAAGTAACGAACGAGAGACATACCTATAACACGATACGACCGCTTCACCTGCCTCCTTCACCGAGGGAAAGTCTCCGAGCTGACGTCGCGCTTGGTATCTATCCACTTTCGCCCTAATCTCCTCCAAATCACCAATGAGCGTCGCACTGTTCTTCGGCGGCGCTTCGCCTTCACCCTGAGCAACGCCGCCGCCATCTCCCGAAACCGAGTCAATCTCACGGTCGAGGTTTTCTCTCTCCAGAACCCGCTGAATTTCCTGCTGCACTTTCTCCTCCTCCGCACGAAGTGTCTGTATCTCGGCTCGGATGCGTGATCGTATGTGGTTGTCCAGGGCGGATTGTCGCTCTGGTGTCGTCTCGGGTGATGCCACACGGTCTGAGAGATAGTCCACTACATCCTGAGAGAACTTTTTGTCGTCCGGAGAGGGCAGTAAGAGTAAGAGAACACGGGCTAGTTAGTAAGAAGGGAATGAATGGCAGGTTTTAATAAGAAATACCTCTACGGGTGTTCCGCTGTGAATAACTTTTGGCGCAGCGGCATCTGTTTTAGACTGGGAAGCACCCATTTTTGTATTTTAGGTTGTTATTGGGACACTACGAAAGTCCAAGGCTGACGGTTGTACTCGTCGGAACACATTCGGAGGAACCGTGGCATGTACTGTCGCTTACCAACTTGCTAGCCTCCCCCACTTGTTGGCCAGTTTTTCAGAATGATGACTTCTTCCCTAACAACAAATTTTCTGTATGGCCACATGCAACAATATATGTATCCTTAGGTACTGCGAAGTTGAATGACATTAATCCATGAAGTATTTGTTGAGATAGCAAAAACAATGTGACAAGCAGAAGAATCACGCCTGTGATGGTCATGCCGAACCATGCCGAAGCGGAGTATGAATTATCTAATTCCGTAGCTCTGCGCCATTCGCCAGTCATAGCAGTTATTAGGACAGCGCAGGTGGCCCCTAAGATGGGTCGGGAGAGGACTGAGCAGGCATCTCAGGCCCCTGACCGTGAAAGGCGGATCCAAGCTGCCATCTCGGGGGTTGCCAATGGGTTGTACAAATCCTACAGAACAGCTGCAAAGGCTGAGGGGGTAAATTTTATCTAACCATGTTATCAAGGATTAATCTTGGGCTGACGAGGGTTGCAGGTTGTTCGGCAGACCTTGATGATTCAGGTGAATGGCCACTGTAAAACCCGAGACAAAGCGTTCACCAAACTTCAGCTTCTGACCCCTATACAAGAGGAAACACTCGTTGATTGGTGCCGACTGAACTCCAGTAGTGCTACCCCCCTCCACTTCACAAATCTCCGTGCTCAAGCATTACAGGTGTGTGGTAAACACCCTGGAAAGAATTGGCCGCGGCGCTTTCTCATATATTCAGCCTAATGATCCCTCGTTTGATACTGCACATTACTAGCATCATCATATAGCTTCTACTAATAGAGATTCCGTCTACTTAGCACAACATAGCCTATAGATTTCACTACTATTTTGCGCCATGCAGCTTCCGGCGGGATTTCAAGTGTGACCGTGCGTTACTTGTTGTGACATTTGTGTGACGGCCAACAAGTGGGGGAGGCTAGCAAGTTGGTAAGCGACAGTAGTAGCACCTGCCAATTTTGGCTAAGGTATCCAGACATCACGTGAAGCCTACGGGTCCGAACGACTTGGTCGAAATTTCCAGGAGTCACAACGGCAGTACTAAACGGTCAAGGCTAAAATTGACGTATGTACAACGGTATCTGCACAAAAACCTCTTATTCTCCTGAGGAAACTTTTTTAACTCAGTGAATAATCATCTATTCGCATGCCTCGAATAATACTTGTGGCCATGATCGAGGAGCCTAAACAAAGGAGTCGACACACACTCTGACTACGCAGGCACTCGTTGCAAGGAGGAACTTACCAGTCTGGTTCGATTTCCGTTAGAATCTTGATTCTAGTATTTCACGTTCATATATTAGATATGTACCTTAAACAGAGTAAAAGTCAAAGCCTCACTGATTTTTCTTAGTTTCTTCCATTTCATGGAAGACGACCCAACCCGACCGCGGCTTTCTCGTAAAAAGCACCGAGTTTGGATGAACATACAAGACCTGAGAAGAAAAAAACCAAAGAAAACGACATGAAACGAAACGGCGTATGGATTCCCATCCACTTACCCTGTCTCCTTTAACTAAGCGGTAAGTCCCATCCGCCATCCACCTCGCGCAATTCCGCCAGTACCCGCTGACCAAACACTGCCGCAATCGTTTCGCATCCCCTTCGCAGCTTTGCGTTGGCAATCCGAATCGTTGCATGTATCTTTTCAGCTGTGAACGAATCGAGACGGCTCTGGACATTGCGCGAAAGTTGAGCGCGTGGGCTTTGCACCATGAGGATGATTTTCCGTATTTTGTGAATGCGTTGTAGGCTATAAATATTGTTCGAGTGGAGTTCGGTAAGACGGTGGGTAGAGGTATATAAAAAAAGACATGAAAGCAGACCGTTGAGCAGAGTTAGATGATCCTAAGGAAGCATGTGAGGATGGATAAATTGTAAACTTGAATGGGTGACTCACCCCTTCTTCGGCTGTGAATTTTCGTCGTTCCAGTTCTGCAAGGGCACCTTGCGACCCATCTGGGATCACGAAAACGTCCTTTGCGTTTCACCGTCAATTACTGCCCCTACGGGGCAAGGGAGAGGCCAGAAATACCTGGACAGATGTCATAGCTGCAATAGTCAAAATCTCTTCGCCGCACGTAAACTCTTTCGAGGCGTATAACTTTCCAGAGCAGACGGTTAAGTGCAAACTGATAACAAGCACAGTTAGCTGCGTACCATACGAGCCAGTGCCATCTCTACCGGCCATTCTGCAGCTTGCTGACCAAACACAGTCAACCGCCCGTCTTCACCTACCATGCCAGCAGCTACCAGACCTTCTAGAGCACGAAGAACACTCTCGGCAGGTGGAGAAGTCACCCACTCGAACTTCATCAAGTCGTCTATTCCAAGTGATTTCAGCTGCAAGATAGGTGTGGTCATTTCAGAGCGCGTTATTTCGGGTGGTGTACTGGCCGAGAGAGTTGCAAGGAAGGACTCGGGGTATAACCGATAACAAATCCCTGGTGATGTTCTACCAGCACGACCGGCTCTCTGCGTGGCCGACGCCAGCGAAACTGGGACTGTCGATAATGATGAGAGAAGGGATGTTGGATTATAGGTGCGGATCTAAGTGACCGTGAAGAAACACGACAGCGCGAGCATAGCATGAGAACGAACTTTGACGAAACCACAGTCAACCACGAACTTCACACCGTCAATTGTGACGCTAGCCTAGAAAATTCTTCAGCAAGGGGGAAATGTATGTAGGTGATTCCCAAATGAACGAACCTCGGCAATGTTGGTAGAAGCGATGACTTTGCGCGTGTTACGTTCAGCTGGGAAAAACACCCTCAGTTGTTCTTCGCTAGTCAAACCTGAGTGCAGAGCCAGAGGTATGATTTCTGTTCCACCACGGCGTTGACTATGCCAGTTTGACTATATGATTTGTCTTCTTCGAAGAGAAAAGAGAAAGGGAACGTGCGTACGTGGGTATAAGTTCCGTGAGTTCCTCCAAAAATCGCTCGATATCCTCCCTGCCAGTGAGAAACACCAGTACATCTCCAGACGCGTTGTGCTACAATGGATTTTGTAAGCGACCCAGTGAGACATCGAGCTTGTAACAAGAAAGGAATGAAAAAACCTGTTGATTGATGTTCCAGACTACATCGACAGCGGCGCGAACGTAGTCAGGAGCTGGTTCTTGCAGATACGCAACCTCGACGGGATGTGCTCTTCCCTCCAGGCTGACTATAATCGCTTCGTCGGGTGAGGTGTTTGAACAGAAGTACTCGTGGAAAGCTCGCGCGTCGAGCGTCGCAGACGATACGATGAGACGGAGACTGAGACGTTTTCTTCGAATCCTGGGGGTCACACATAGGTGGTGAATCGTGATTGTCGCGTCGGATTTAGAGTACAAACGTTACTTTTTTAGTATGCCGAGAAGTAGGTCGGTGTAAAGACTTCTTTCGTGAGCTTCGTCGATCTGAGTCAAAAGCTGTAAGGAGAAGAAACACAAAAGGGATGTTGTACGCACCATTATTACACTATACCGCGTCAACAAAGGATCGATGAGGATTTCCCGGAAAAGCATCCCATCAGTCATGTATCGTATACGCGTTTTTTCCTTGTCACTGACATCCTCGAAGCGAATGGTGTACCCAACCTAGCTTGCAGTATTAATTAGGACGAGTACGCACGGAAAAGTACCCACCTCCTCTCCTAGGACGGTTCCGACCTCCTGTGCGACGCGAGTTGCGACTGACGTTGCTGCTACTCTCCGCGGCTGGGTACATGCGATCACATTCCCTTCGGATGCCCAGCCTGATTCTAGGAGGTACTGTGGAAGCTCTTTCCGAGATCACGTTGAATACTGCTCTGTTCCGATACACCGATAATTACTTACGCGTCGTTTTCCCGGATCCCGTTTGGCCCACTACGATGGTAACACCGTATTGTTGGATGCAATGCAGGAGCTTTTCACCTGTAACACCGTGAATAAGACCGTAACAAAGGGACGTTAAGTGAAGACAGACGATGTTTTGCAATGGGGAGACTCCGGCGTTGGGCCTGTATGGAAAGCGAGCCTTGGGCAGGGGCAGATTGGACAAGAGTGCCCTCCTCCTGTGTGGCTCTGTCGAGACTGCTTCCCGGCGCGACTGTCCCCGGTTTCCAGAATGTCAAGGAAGACATCGCAGTTGTCGATGTCAAAGTAGTCTTGTGCAGTTCAAGGTGCACGCGCCGGGGTGTACACGAACCACAACATGGACGCCTGCAGGGAGGATCTGCCAAAGGTGTCGATCGAAACAGAACAAGATTGGAAACGCATCCAAAACAACTTGTCCGAAGCTCTGTCGGCACGACTGGACAAGGAGCTCGAGTCGCGCGGAAACCCTGGTGACAAGGAGGCCATCTTACCGCACATCGACCAGGTGTGTATGTGTCTCCGTTCTTGCCTATCTCTTGACATCAAGGAAGTAATAAAAGACAGTTTCTAGAGACGCTCTTCGACATAGCTCGCCCTAATTTACGTATCAATGGTCGGACGACGGACTCGGAACCAACTCAAGATGACGACGTAGAACCGTTTGACGAGGCATTGGATCGGTATATCTGGTCACTCTCCGACCAGAGATTAAAGTGGGACAAGGACGTCGCGGCGCGAAGGAGGACGCGTCCCAAAGAAGTAGAGAGGCTGATATCTGACACCCTCGCTCAGCACGACTCGGTGGAGCTGGACGTGGCTCAGGAGGACCCAACGTATGATGTTCCAGGTAAGTCATCTTACCCATCTCGGGACTGCGAAGCGGGGCACTAACCCACGACCTTACGACCTGTTAGACAAACCGTTCGACCCAGAGCCTCAGGAAGTGTTTAGTAGTGCGGCATCGCTTACAGCGCAGCTATCCCAGGTGAGTCTCGTGCCTGAGGAGTGTGCATAGTTCTCAAGCGTGTGCTAGTCGATATCCCTACAACACGAACGCGCCATAAGAGCAAAGTCGGTTTTCCAAGAAATAAAAGTCCTCAAGTCATGAGGATTGCCATCAAGATACTCGCGCGTGCACGACCCAGAACTTCGACAGATTCATCGCGTTTTTTGCACCTGCCACACCTTCCCCTAGCGGTCGAACGTTGGTTGTCGATTCATCACTTGTTACCAGCTTAACTTGATTTGATGTTCACGCTTGGCCTGGCTCCTTCACGTTCACCAGCTGGCTAGGTGCTCATCACGCCAATGGATTGACTTGGTATATAAACACATAGTTTCGTTTGTAATGTATGTGTTACAATAGGACATGGTGGGAGAACCGCACCTATGCATTCTTGGGCAACTTAATTTGAAAGATGCCTGCAAAGTCAGACAACAGGCGTCTGTAGATATTGCATGGATGGTGCATATCAATGTGGAGGCGCAGTGACTTCGGGGGTAACGGTTCCATGCAGTCCCATGCGCGAGAGGGCACCGCAGGTGATGCCTGCTGGGAATGCGGCAACCTGGAGATACTGTCGTCAAGGTTAAATTGAGGTGACGCGTTTGGGCAGGCTTACCAAATTGGCTCGTTTAAAAGTTTCGGTGCGACTCTCCCAAGACTCTGATATACGAGTGAGCGGTTTGAACGTGTTGTCTTGGAGTGCGAACGTGCCATGTTGTAGGACGTGTCAGTAACACATGTAGCCGGCAAGGTTTGGGGGTGACTACGGGCGCGGTGATTTGTTCGTAGATTGTGTGCTTAGCATGAGATCCATAGTTCCTTGAGGTGAACTTGATTGTGTCGAGCGAGTCAGCGGAGAGGGGTCAGTACTGCCAGTCTCGACACAATTTATACAGACAGATACATATTATCAAGAGGAGGCGGCGGAATGACTTTTCCGAGCAGTTGGCCCTGCGTGCAATCCGATGGCTTCTAGTCTGGACCGGACTCCCTCGTCCTCCTCGTCAACATACGAGTGCGGACGTGCAGTGCTGCTGCCCTGCTGCTGTCCTGTGGCTTTGCAACGACGGGGGGCGGAGGCACGAACCGAGCTTGTGCCATTTCGTGTTCGATCTTGGTCGTGCGGGCTGCTTCTGCTGCAGAGAATGTCCAGAGTGCGTTGACTGCCTCGGTGACGAGACAGTCCACAGTGGCGGGTCTGCTCGTGATACTTGCCCAGTGACGTGCTCGGCCCGGCGTCAAGCCCTAATTGGGCCGGGCCGAGCTGAGCCGTGAGGATTGCCTGCGGGCCCGGCTCCGGGATTAGTCAGTTGTGTGGTCGAAGAGGCTCGACGAGTTCACTCAGGAAGGGGGAAACGCAAGTCTTATATCGAAGGACAGGGCTACCTCGATATGTAACGAACGGCAATATGACGGAGGCTACCTTGCATCTTCTCGGTCCCTCTCTGAATCACCACATCCAAGTCTTTGATGCTCACAGTGGCGAATCTTGAACATCAGTGCCGTTGTTGATACCACTTGGCAAGAGGAAACGATCGTCACCCAGCAACAATGGCGTCCCGTGTCGTTCGACAAAGCTGCCAAGTCCACTGTTGATGAGCCCTCTGGTGCACCGAAGACAACGTTCTCTCACCCACCCTCTTTGCCACACCTGTCCCCCCTCTCTCCAACCATTTTGTTTTCCTTCACTACCATCTCAACAGCCATCTCACGACACACTCTCAATCTTATCTTTCGCCTGATCCACCGCCTGCTGCGAATGCAGATCGAGTCGAGCGTGTATCTCGCTCGTTTTCACGTCATGTTTCCCGCTTTTCGGAGTAGTGATACTCCTCAACGTCAGCTCCCTGTCAATACTTGGTTTGTTTGAATTTCTCCGGCGGCTCTGGAGACATTCGCATTTTTGTAGGAAGGCCGCCTTCGAGGCCATGTTGTCGTATCATACGCATTCCAGGACCGTTCCCCTCATTTTTCCGATTTTAATCCTCCTCTCTGAGTCCTTTCCAGGGACGCTTCAATTGCCAAATGGCCGTTGTCGAGATGACCATTTTAGTGGTCAGAGGGCTGCAGGACACTTGTGTATAGTTCAGAATCAGGTGCTCTGATCAGGGTGATTGTTTTTCTCCATGTTTTTCTAGGTATTCTCCGGCGTCTTCTGCAGGTTTGTGTCAACCGCCTCCCTTCTCCCCTCCTCCAAGTGTTACCTTTATGATGTCGTGTGGCCGTGTCTCGCCCATTTCGTCGCCGTTCCTCTCGCTTTTTGGGGATGTAATACTACTTGTCGAGAGATATGGAATGGTATGTAGAAAATTACATTTGCTGCAGTGGATCCGGAGATGTTCTCCATTTTCCAGTTGGAGGCATCTTTGGACGGCTTTGCGAATATCTCGGGATCAGAGGCTCGGATTCACACAATTCCTTTTGCGCCGCATTCGTCGTGTTCTCTGCTGCTGTTCCCTCTGGGTTCACGTTGTTTCGAACACCTGGCATTGTTCGAGAGTCTTCCCCCCTCGCCATGGCACTACCTTGGATGGTGTCTGAGCTGTAGCTCTCCCATTTTGTGGGCTGTTTTGGGAAGTAGTAATTCTTGACAAGGGCTTTTGAATAATCTATCTTACATCAAATGTAGGTAGTATGAAGCAAGCTATGGCCTCAGGATGAGCCGAGCCATGGCTTGGCTTTTTTAGGGGTTCACGGCTTGGCCCAAGGATATCTGAGGAGTGAGCTCCAGAAACTGAGCCCAAGCCTTGGCTTTCAGGCTGGACTGAGCTGGCACAATCATTTACCTGTGCACTAACCAGCATTGGAGTTTGTTAGGTTTGCACAAGCTTGATGATAGCCCAATGAAACAATGAGTAGCATTGTTGATTGCAAGAGTTTGTAAATACATGTGTTTGTCAATACTAGATATAATACATTCATGAAATCAACCAACAGTCTTTAAACACCTATGCCATTTGTCCCCATGAACCATGTGGCTCATGTCCAGCTCTGTACAGCAATCTTTTGGAATCACAGCCACATTGCAACTCGAGTAAAATGGCCTCCAGAATGTTGGAGGTAACCAAAGTAGCAATCTTCCCTCTGGACCTCTCATCCAGCCATCTGGATGAAGCTTCACTGGTTCAAACAGTTCCTCAACATGCTGTGGCTGGAAGCCATCAAGGAGTTGTTCACTGTCATGTAATGCATGTGAGAGAACTGATGAAAAGCAGATTTGGGGAGTTCCAAAGGCTAGAAAGTACTTTCAGTAAAAGTGACCATGAGCAATAGCTGGAATGTGCTTACCATTTGCATTACATGCAGGTATTTTCAAATTCTGGTGATGGGTGATAATGTCCTCATATTTCTGAGTGTTCCATGTCCTAATAGTGGAGTCATAGGAGCCTGAGGCAATTCTTGTGCCATCAAGGGAGAATGCAAGTGTAGACAATGGACCAGTGTGGCTCTGGGGAAGGCAGTATAACTGCTCATGACTTTCAGTGTCCCAGACCCTCATAGTCTTGTCAGATGACCCTGAAACAATTCTCTTGCCATCAGGGGAGAATATAACTGAATGGACCCATCCAGTATGCCCCTGAAGAGGGTTACCAATCTGTGCACTCCTCTCAGCATCCCACACCCTCACAGTCTTGTCATCTGACCCTGAGATGATCATCTTTCCATCAGGGGAGAATGCAACTGATTTGATCCAATTTGTATGCCCCTCAAGGGGGCAACCAATCTGCATACCTCTCTGAGCATCCCATATCCTCACAGTCTTGTCAGATGACCCTGAGACAATCCTCTCACTATCAGGGGAGAATGCAACTGATTTGACCCAATTGGAATGCCCCTCAAAGGGGGAACCAATCTGCACACCTCTCTCAGTATCCCAAACCCTCAAAGTCATGTCAGATGACCCTGAGACAATCCTCTTGCCATCAGGGGAGAATGCAGTTGACCTGACTAACCCAGTATGCCCCTGAAGAGGGGTACCAATTTGTGTACTCCTCTCAGCATCCCATACCCTCAGAGTCTTGTCATCTGACCCTGAGACAATCCTCTTGCCATCAGGGGAGAATGCAACTGCTTTGACCCATTCAGTATGCCCCTCAAGGGGACAACCAATCTGCATACCCCTTTCTGCATCCCAGATCCTCACAGTCTTGTCAGATGACCCTGAGACAATCCTCCTTCCATCAGGGGAGAATGCAACTGACTCAACCCAACCAACATGCCTATGAATAGAGCTGCCAATCTGCAAACTCCTCTCAACATCCCAGACCCTCACAGTCTTGTCTGCTGACCCTGAGACAATCCTCTCTCCATGAGGGGAGAATGCAACTGAAAGGACCCCATGAGTATGCCCCAGAAGAGGGCAGCCAATCTCCACACCACTCTTGGAATCCCAGATCCTCACAATGTTGTCCTTTGACCCCAAGACAATCCTTTGGCCATCAGGGGAGAATGCAACTGTAGACACTGGACCACTGTGGCCCTGGGAAAGGCAGAAGAGCTGCACACCTTCCTCAGTGTCCCAGAACCTTGTAGTCTTATCCTCTGAGCCTGAGACAATCCTCTTCCTATCAGAGGAGAATGTAACTGAATGGACTAAACCAGTATGCCCATGAAGAGGGCTGCCAATCTGCATGCCCTTCTCAGTATCCCAGACTCTCACAGTCTTGTCCTTTGACCCTGAGACAATCCTCTTCCCATCAGGGGAGAATGCCACTGATTTGACCCAATCAGTATGCCCCTGAAGAGGGCTACCAATCTGTACACCCCTCTCAGCATCCCAGATCCTGACAGTTGCATCATCTGACCCTGAGACAATCTTCATGCCATCAGGGGAGAATGCAACAGAGCCAACCCAATCAACATGCCCCTGAAGAGGGCTGCCAATCTGCACACCCCTTTCAGCATTCCAGACCCTCACAGTCTTGTCCTTTGACCCTGAGACAATCTTCTTGCCACCACAGGAGAATGCAACTGACAGGACCCAATCAGTATGCCCCTGAAGAGGGCTACCAACCTGTACACCCCTTTCAGCATCCCAAACCCTCACTGTCTTGTCACATGACCCAGAAACAATTCTCTTGCCATCAGGGGAGAATGCAACTGAATAAATTGCTGCAGCATGCCCCTCTAAGGACAGCTGGGCAGCCATCCACTCCCTAAGCCCCCCTACTGTAACTCCAACAAGGCCAGAGAACTTTGGCATCAGCACTTTTGCTAACCTTGTGTCTGAAGGAATGAATGGCAATGCAGATATGTAAAGATGTGGGGCACTGTGTGAGATTGCCCCACCAAAGTTCATAATGAACTTGATCTCATCTTGTACCATTCCTAATGCATCCTCAAAACTTGGCTGATCCTTTCAATATGACATTAGGAAATGCTATGTAAATCCAAGGGAAACTCACCAATAGCCATGATGCAGTATAGATGAGAGTGTCTACAGCTCTCCTAAATTCACCAATAACACTCAAAATCTCCAGCCAGAACAGAATTCTTTCACTCCCCACAATACTCCTCACCAACTCAGCAAGCACTGGGTCAAAGGTAGTCTTCTGCAGATGTTGGGCCCAGAATTGGCAAGAATAGGACAGTTGAGGTGTAATGTATTTGTTGATTCTTTCCTGTAAGCCAAGGACTTCGGAATTGCTGAAGTAGGAGCTTTCCAGTCTGCAAATGTTGAATTGCAGATCATTACAGAGAATCCGCAGTGAGGCCCAGGATAGGTCATATTGTTCAGAAGTGCTGATAAAATAGTCCCCACTTCGTGATTGGCTTGTCAGGAAATCGTAAAAAGACACGTGGAGGGGTCGAACAGGAGAAGAGTCATTAACACCAGCCAACACCGGTGCCATGAACTCCAGGATGACCGCGATATCATAGTGGTCCTCCTCGTTGGGAAAGTATTTTCGCATGAGCTGCAACGTCGACATGGGCAGGGGTATCAATGTCATCAGTATTTGTCCCATCACTGAGCGAAACCGCGCAAGGGATGCTGGAGGAATAGCAGTCTGCAAGATCGTGGTATACGTTTTGTCCAAAAGTGTCCCTCCCTCTCCAGATCGACGAGCCATCACGTCTTCAAAGCGTTCCCTGAGGGTCTGTCCAGCTCTTTTCCGCTTGATGAACTCGCAAGCCACACGTGCCCATTCGAACAGGCCACCTGATTTCTGAGTTATCTGATCTATCTCCTTGGGTCCAATGACATCCTCGAGGTGCGGGTGACGGAGTTCATTAGAAACGAATAGATGAATGTCGTGCTCAGCGGTTTCAAGGGGAACCTCATCCAAACAAGTTACAGTTAAGTGTTGGCAACCAGTGAAGGCGTCCTCAATATCCGGCAACAGCCTGGACGTCAAAAGAATGCGGAAATTTGGGGGGAGGTGAGCAGCCTCCTGTGACGCGAGAAGAGGCAGGATACGACTCCTGGATGTCTCCGGCCCACTTTCATCCAGCGCATCAATTACCATAACCACGTTGCCAACGATCACCCCGTTGACCTTGGACAAAGGTTTCAAAATGAGTCGCTGCCATTGCTGCATTACGTCCCGCGTAGTTTTGAGGGAGTAGTCCTTGGAGACGACATCAGCTAGTGCTCGCCGAAACGCCGGGTCACGGTCTGCCAGGTCGCGGGCGATGGTCGTCAGAATCTTCTCTTCACGATGTTCGGACAACCTGTCGCGCGTGAAGCAAAAGCAGGACCCGAGTCCGCCAGTATCCTTGATCCATGCAGCAATCGTATGCGCAATGACCGACTTTCCTCGTCCAGCTTGCCCCTGAAGCCACATGATACGAGGGGCGTTGGGCCTGGGGTCAGTGATCCAGTCAATGATGTGGCGCAAAATCTCTGTCCTCGTGCCATCGAGACATATCTTAGACGTATCAAGCCCTGCACCCTCAGCGTAGGCCATGCCTTCGAGGTTCAGGTCCTCCAATATGTGGTGGACGTTGATTTGAGTGTCCCGGGCTGTGCGGTCACGGTACTGCTGCATTAAATCATTCAGCGTCGTGGTGTAGTCGTCGATGATGGCCTGCGTCTTAGAGCCGATGTTCTTCCCTGTCCTTTTCCCTGAGAATGAACCGCATCAATATCTAGTGCCAAGAGGGGCACATTAAGACTCACAGAAACTCTTTGTTTTTGAGTAGTCTTTGATGAACTGCACGGCGTTGCTTATCACTCCAGCAATCTTCGCAAGAATATCTTTCATACTGTCGATATTGTTGATGGTATCTTCTTCGGCAAGAAATTCATAGACACCCCGGATCGTTTTCAAGAGGTCGGACACGGCCTTGTCTAGATTTGCTTGTTTAATGAGCAACTACGAGCCACCATGTGAGATGGCAAATGGATATGTGACTGGGAACACACCTGAGAAGCAGCTGTCAAGATTCCCAGCGCAATCTGGGCATAGGGGTGGACCTAAGACATGCATTCTATCATTGTATTAGATGAGCGGAAAAAATATATGCACATTGGAAAGGGTTGTGACGACTTCATTGAAAACTTTGAAAGGTTCGAGATAGGTATTGGTGAAGTTCTGGATGTCAGTGAATGCCGTGTTTGCATCGTTGATGATATTGGCAGTGCCTTCGCTGAGGTGTGGCATGGGAGCAATATTGTCGAATGCTTGGGCTGCATGATCGATGTCCTCTCCTACCGCAGGGACAGGTTTTAGTTCTTTTTTCGTTGCTGGTTTCTGCCCAATGTGACTGGTTAGTGCCAATTTTAGTCGGAAATAGGAGGTCACTTACGTCCTCCAATTGAACTGCCAGGGGTTGTCCCGGCTGCTCCTGTGTTCCCTCACCAGCACCGGTACCAACTGCCTCTGCCGCAACAGAACTTGGGGTACTGTTTGACTTACGCAAAAAGCGTCTTATCCTGGCAAGCGTTCCCCTGGCCGATGTTTCAGTCGGGGGAATGGCATCCCCAGCGGGGGCTTGCGACGATCGCTGCAGCCGTTTTTTCTTTGTTGTCAATGAACACCGTCGGTCAGAAACAACGAATTAGCGCACCGGTGACAAGTTAGATGTGGAATGGGATCTCCCAACTCCAAAGAGATGGCATTTCTTTGGATGCAGACGGGCCATCGAAAATAAGGATTTTTGGTAAATTGAATGATATGTGAGTTCTACTCAATGTTCCGTTCGACGAGGCTTGAAGAAGATCGCAAGTAGCTATTAGGGACATGCTGTGGACACGCCTAGTGGGTGTCAGTGGCATTATGTAATTCAGTGGTGTATGCGCAACCTGTACTACTGTCCGACATCCGTAGTACGTACTACCCCACGAGCAACGCGATCTCTACTACCGTGCGTCCGACATCCGCACGTCCACCTGCCCAACGACTGTACTGTGTATGTAAGAGATAACCTCAGTGATTCACACGGAAGAAAGTCGCGCTGCCATTATTTTCGCAAGCAGCTGTAACGAATGTGATACAATGGACGCGATGCGGGACTGTACCTATGTATTCTTGGGTAACTTGATTTGAAAGGTACCTGCAAAGTCACAGGTTCGCAGATATCGCACGAATGATGGGGAACTATGCAACATACAATGTGGAGGTGCAGTAATTTCCGGGGTGACGGTTCCATGCAGCCCCATGCGCGAGAGGGCACCGCGGATGATGCCTGCTGGGAAGGCAGCAGCCTAGAAACGCTGTCAAGGTCAAAATGAGGTGACATGTTTGGGTAGCCATACCAACTTGGCTCGTTTGAGAGTTTCGGCACGACCCTCCCAAGATGATATACGAGTGAGCGGTTTGAACGTGTTGTCTTGAAGCACAAACACACCCTGTAGGACGTGTCAACAGTGCATGAGGACAAGGTTTAGGGGTGACTACAGACGCGGTGATTTGTTCGTAGATTGTCGACCTGTTTGTCCCAGCACGAGACCCACAGTTCCTTGCAGATGAACTTGATCGCGTCGAGCGAGTCAGAGAAGAGGGGTCTGTCTCGACACAATCTACTCAGGACAGGTTATTATATCAAGTACGGGAGGACAACGTAGACATATGAATGACTTTTCTGCATAGTTGGCGCCTACGTGCAATCCGATAGCTTCTAGTCTGGACCGGACTCCCTCGTCCTCCTCGTCGACATACGAATGCGGACGTGCAGTGTTGCTGCCGACGCTGTCTTTGCTGCTGTGCTGAGGCTTTGCGACGGGGGGCGGAGGCACGAACCCAGCCTGTGCCATTTCGAGCTCGATCTTGGTTGCGCGGGCTGCTGCTACCGCAGAGGATGCCCGGAGTGCGCTGACTGCCTCGATGACGAGACAGTCCATCGCTGCGCCATCCACGTAGACGGCTGGCGGGTCTGCCAATGCTACGAGGCTCATGGTAGAGAGGTGCACGTGACTGGCGATTACAGGTTGCGCACTGACCAGACCACAGGCAGTGAAATGTCTGGGCTGATGGCGCTGTTCAACTCGACGACGGCGAGATTCCCTCCAGCGATGTCGATGTCGATGAACCCGCGAGACAGGCCATCCGATCCTCTGTCACGTCTCCGCTTTGCACTCGAAACAATGCCAGGCTCACGCAAATACGTCTTCACTCCAGCCACGCGTGCAGAGATTCTGTCTGAGCTCTACGATGCATTCTGGGGGCAATACGCTCACATGTTCCTGCCTCTGTCTAACTCGAGTCTCCCAATGCATGCCACCCTCAGCCAAGTGCAGGCCGAGCTCGGGTTTGCAGGTGCAGGCGCAGCAGAGGATCCTGTCATACCAGGTCGACCGTGTGGGCACATCTTCACAAAGGGAGAGAGCTGCTTCCGGTGCAAGTGCGCTGCCATCGATTTCTGCTCAGGGAGTTGTGTGAAACTCACGAATGTACTGCATATTTTTTCAGGGACTGTGCGCTCGACGAGAGTTGTGTTCTCTGCAACCGTTGCTTCCGCGCAAGCAGTCACGAGAACCATAACGTCAGTTTCTTCATAGCACAACAGTCCGGAGGATGTTGCGACTGCGGTGACCCAGAAGCATGGAGACAATCTCTACAATGTCCATATCACCCCGTCCTCCAGGAAGCAGAGGAGCTCTCCCATGCTGCCCTCAACACTCCAGATACTACTCCCAGAACCGCACCACGCTCCATATCAGAAGCTGAAATCCCTCCCGTCCCTAACTTTCCCTTCCGAGCACCTTGTCCTCCCGAACTGCGTGACATCATGGGCAGGACAATCGGCTATGCGCTGGACTTCCTCCTCGACACCCTCGACTATTCACCGGACGAGCCGACCATACCTGACAACGAAGCCGACCTCCGCCTACAGCCCTCTGCAGACCCGATGCAAAAAGACCAGTATTGCGTCATCTTGTGGAACGATGACAAACACTCGTTCGACGAGGTAATACAGCTTCTCTGTGACACCACTAACCGCGATCGCAAGGATGCAACGGCTATTGCTCATACCGTCGACGAACATGGTCGCGAGATCATCGACATGAATGCAAACGCCGGTCGTCTCCTCGAGATCGCCCTGATTATATCCAAGATTGAACTTGGAGTCACCGTCCGCAGAGCATACGACACCTTTCGCGAACAGGTCGCCATGGTCATCATCGAATGGCTCGTAGATCTCACCCGCAGTCGTCTCGGAGCCGACACCCTCGTCACAAGAGAGGTCATCGCAGCCGAATTGTTGTCTCCTAGACGTCGAGAGAGCAACATATATGGCTCTGGCCCTCAGATCCCTGACTTGTCAGCTGACGTTCCTGGTGCAGCGAGAATCGACTGGTTGTTTCTGTATCACACCAGGCTTTGGAAGAAGCCACGGATGTGTCTCAAGGAAATATACGCATCTATCTTGACACTCTCGCACCCCCACAAGATAGCCGTTGGTAGGAGCCCTCTCCTGTACTCGTTGACTTCCTCGACTGATCCTAGTCTTAGGCAGTCACTTTGCCGCCGTCTATCATCGCGTCATAGATGCATATCTCTTGGTAGATCGAGAGGCAGAGACGTCTATCAAGTATTTTGCCTTGCAGCTCTTCACGGTGCCTTCAGTCGCAAGCTACGTCGTGCGACACCATGACCTTGTCACACGACTCCTGAACATCATCATCAATTTCTTTACAAACCAAATTGCCGAGAAGCGCATCCTGAAGAACACCACTGCATCTACCGATGCCGGAGAGCTGGACGTCGAGAGTTTCCCATTCAAATCGAAGCGTTTCATGCCAGTGTTCAGCGACCTTCGTTACCTCTGCCACAACCAACCCGTGCAACGGCTCATTGCAAGTAACGTATCCTTCATACACAAATTCGCCAAGGTCTGCCAGCTGTTCATGTGTGTTCATCCCAATAAGCGTGCGGCGACCAGCCACGTAGAGTACGAGACGGATGCATGGATCAGTGTCTTCAACGTAACGTTGTCCTTGTCCCGGGTCATCAAGGTGTACGGCGAAGCATTTGCATGGGCCACCCCGTCACAACTTATAAATGCTATCACTACCGTGGTGCTCGAGATCATTACGGTATGTACGTTGAGCAACGACAAGCTCGACAAGAACAAGTTCTCGGCTCCTGCATTCCATTCTGTCGTCTTTGGTGACGCCGAGTACACGATCATCGAGTTCGATGTACTGGAGGAATGGGTCAGTTTCCACCACTCGTTGCACTGGCTCTTGGCGGAGCTGCTCAAACATGTCGATATCCTTTCGGAGGAGTCGTTATTGCAAGTTGGTGTTGCGAGCGTCAGGGATCTCTTTATGCGAATATCAACGGAGCCGATGATTTTGACCATGATTGATTTTCCGCTGCGAGGTAAGTTTTCTGGTCCAGTTGCGTGAACGGACCAAGATGAGGTTTGACTCGAAACAATCTAGTCCTCTCGATGGTGGCCCAGATTCGCTCGGGTCTTTGGGTACGCAACGGTTTCCCGATACGCGGACAACTTCTGCACTATCGCGATTTCATGCTTCGCGAGCTCTGCTACGATCAAGACTTGTTCATCCTCCAGACGTCTCTCATCATTTTGGATCCCAACACCGTCTTCGTCAGCATTCTGGACCGTTTTGGGCTTCTCCAGTTCTTCTGTGGCTCCGTCGTCCACCCCGTCTATGAGGGTGTACAGTTATCTAGTATGGTCGAGGAAGTACTCTACGTCATCATCACTCTCCTCACCGAGAAAGCGAGTGCATCGAAAATGCCACTCCCCGCGGCTGTTCGTCGTGAAATCATTCACGCTCTCGCGCCCGGCCCCTGTTCGTACACAGACCTCGTGAAGCGCGTCGCAGAGCGCTTCGTAGATGATGTCTGTTTTGAACACGTCCTGGCCGATGTGGCACACTTCCGAGCCCCTGAATCTACCTCGGACACGGGCACATATGAATTGAGGGATGAGTTATATGCCGAGGTCAACCCGTTCTATTACCACTATGCACGTAATCGACGGGAAGAAGTTGAGGGTGCCCTTCGCGCATGGTTGAAGAAAAAGACAGGCGAGACAGACCCCGTCGTCCTGCCTAAGCCGATCGGGATCGAACATGGCCCGTTCTCTATCCTTCCATCGTTGCTCGAGTCCGAGGTTCTTTTGCAGGTCATGTTCTATGCGATCTACAATATTCTTGCGCTTACTGAGGCCGCGGGGATGACACCCCCTTCGTCCGAGGCTATCCTCGACCAAGCGTTCTATCTTATCATGCTTGCACTCGTGGAGCGCGCTTCGGTTTTCAGTCATCTGGCAGCGATCAAGACGTTTGGTGATGATCACAAGAATCTCATCGATGTGATATGTGCGATGGAGCACAATGAGCATTTCAAGCCATATATGACCCGAATAGGTTGGATTCTTGGGGAGATCTCAAAGTTTGTTCCGGAAGAGGTGCAAGCGCGGCGGAAAGTTGTGGATGTGCCGGGGCCGGGTGCAGATGCGGAAAGTCTGCGAAAGCGCGCTGCGAAGGCCCGCCAGCAAGCGATCATGGCGCAGATGAAGGCGCAGCAGGCAAGCTTTGCTATCAACTTTGAGGACGAAGACGACGAGGATGATGAAGATGCCGCTACGTCGCCGGAGGAAAACGTATCGTATGGGTCTTGCATCGTGTGTCAAGAGGACCTCAACGAGAATCAACCCTTCGGAATGTTGGGCTTTATCCAACCGAGTCGACTGCTGCGGAAGCACCCTGACGGCCACAGCGCCTACTTGAGTGAGCTTATGTCGATGCCTTCGTCACTGGACCGGACGAATCAACCCGCCCACCCATCTACGTTCCCACCCGTTGGCCCAGACATGTACGAAGACGTCACGCATTTCCCGCCCAACTTTGGTGGTTTTCCATCGCTGTATACGCGTTTTGGTATACACACGTCTATGTGCGGTCATATGATGCATATGGAGTGTTTTTCGACATACAATGTATCCATTCGACAACGGCATCGCGCCTATATGATGCGAAACCATCCAGAGAACATACTTCGCAAGGAGTTCATATGCCCGCTGTGTAAGAGTCTAGGGAACGTCATTCTTCCCATATCCAGGCCGTCCACGACGCCACTCAGCAGTGTCCCCTTCCACGACTGGATCCGAGCTGCTGGTATATCCCTTCTCAAGTCCAAACCGGACCCTCTTATGGATTCCCTCCAATTCAGGAACGGCACGGGCGAGTTCGTCTTCTGGAGCGTTCAAGACCCCAACTATATGAATCACCTGCGACGCCCGGAAGTGATGGAGGCTCACAAGATGCTTGAAAGTTTTATGAGCGTAGTTAGGACTATATCTCAGCAGACGCGGCACCTCCGAGATCGACCGGAGCCAGAACAGGGAGAACGAGGCGCGGGGATCTATATCCCTGAAGAAGTGATTGGGTACACGATTTCCTCTATTGAGGTTGCCGCTCGTGGTACCACGGGTTCTTCTGCCGGCACCGGTACCATCGCCGATAGCTTGTCTGAGACGCAGCAACGAATGATTCGCGCGTTACTTGGTTGTCTTTCTGCCATTGCACGGTTGGAGTTGGAGGCAAGGCCAGATGGTGGTAGGGAATTGGTGAAGCAAACTATTGTTAAGCGGCTGCTGCCTGAATGGAGCCGCACGTCGCTCACGTCGTTCTCGTATCCCTTCCTTCTTCGCGACCCGCTCAGCGTTCTCGTGGAGACCGCGGCAGTCGCACCGGAAATGCTTCAGCACGTGCTCATTCTATGCTACTATGCCTGCTTAGCGCGCACTGTCGTCGGCATGGTATACGTACTCAACAAGGCGAGGTCGTGCAATGGTCTTCAGCCGGTCGTTCGCAGCCACCCGGAGCTATTTGGCGATGTCAAGATGTTCTTTATGTCCGTTGTACGGCACTCACCGATTTTCGAACATACCGCCACCCACGTGTTGGAGACGTTTGGAGAGGGACGTATCGAGAAGACGCTTTATGCGTTTACACTTCCGTTCCTTCGTCGGGCAGCGATCCTGTGTCGTTCGGTTCTCCCGAATGCATTCTCTTCGTCGTCGTCCCACTCCTCCCACCAAGACAACGAGTATAAGCGTCTCTTGTCGTTCCTCAACATCCCACCCTTGTCAGACCTGCCCAACCAAGACACGCTCCAAAACGCACTGTCAGGGTGGTGCGCACACTATGGCCACTCGCACGCAGCGTCGCAGCTCAACTGCGGTGTCGTCCTTGACTACCCAGCGGTGTACCGTATGGCGCGTCTCCCTGTCGTACTCGATAATCTGTTCAATGGACGCGAGAAGGTTATGAGGTGTGCGCGGTGTAATACTGTCCCCGTCGATGCCGCGATATGTTTGATTTGTGGGGTGACGTGCTGTATGTTGAGTAATTGTTGCATGGATATTGAATCGGGCGGACGAGGGGAGTGTAATATGCACACGCGAGAGTAAGTTTCTGGATTTCATTGATGTGTTTCTTTTTCTTCCTCGGCACATTTGGTGGGTTACTGACGGGTTGTTGTTTATATATATATATAGATGTGGTGGAGCTATCGGTCTATATTTTGTGGTGAAAAGATGCTCGGTGCTTTATCTCTACGCGAACAACGGGTCGTTTGGGCAGTCCCCGTATTTGGATGTTCATGGCGAAGTCGATATTTCTATGAGGTGAGTTCACATTTTCCCTTCCCACCTCATGCGCTGACCAAGTACCAATTATAGGCGAGGAAGACGACAATACATCCACTGGCTGAGGTGGGAAGAAATACGTAAAACGTGGCTTAATCACGGCATTCCTACCACCATTGCCCGCAAGTTGGAGAGCACCGTAGACAATGGTGGCTGGGAGACGCTCTGAGATAACAACTGTTTGTAATTAGATGTTTGTTTGTCTGCTTGCTTACATTTCTTTCTTTCTCTCCGTCATTTAGTAAAACTTGCAGCAGTTTGTAAGTCCTCCGTCCCTTGTATTAGCACGTTGTGTATTAGACAGCAGTAACATAAAGGATGTATCATGCATGGGATGTATGTTATATTTCACTCGTCACGGTAGAGATGGCGTTCTTCAATCGCGCAATGGTTCGTTCTGGACCAAGGACACTAATAATTTCAGGAATGCTTGGTCCAGTCTGAGAAACATCGGTCCGACCTAGTCAGAAACATGCACAAAATTATGGCGTACCTTCATTGCCGAAAGAGCATGACGAAGTGCGGTCATGAAGCTTTTCTGCTTGAGACCTGTAACCTTACACACGTCGTGAATGACCGTCGCGACGAGTGATATATCGCCGCTAGTAAAATCTTGGTCAACGAAACGAATGGTCGTTTCCAGTGCAAGTACTTTTCGAACGTTAGCCGTGGAAAAAACATAAAAACAGGAGCGGCAAAAGTATAGCTCACAGTAGTCGTCACTTGGAACAGATCTGATCATCGACATTGCATCTGACGATGCGTAGTCCGGATCCACGAAGAAGAAAGGTGTGAGCGATGGTACGTCAAAGACGTTGATTATTCGTCCCTAGAAAGCAGGTGGGTTCTTTCGATGACGGGATTTAAGCACACAAACACGTACTTGGAGCACGCGAATCACCTTCGCGATATAATCTGGCGTAGCATATTGGCTATAAAAAGAGATTGAAATGAAACCACACCATCAACAAATCCATCGGGACTAGAAGTCTAAGTACCTCGATGGGAATTCCGATTTGACGAGTTCGCGTATCCGGCGCGCATGATGTGCGGTTGCCTCGTCGTCCTTCCAGCTGCGCATTAGATGGTGCTTGTTCAGGTATTCGAGTTTGGCAGGGTCGAGTATGTTCCGGCGATGTGTCAGAGCGCTTAGGTCAAACTTGGCCACATAAGGGCTACGGTCAGGCCCAAATATCGAGAGATCCAGTAATACGTATATAGACACGCACATGGTGAACGAGTTCTGGGAGCGTCATAACCGCAGTACTGTCTGGGGCTTGAGAGTCACCAAAGGGAGCCGGTTTTTTGTTCGGGTTGTGCTGTGCCCCCCAGCCTGCCAACGCCAGCCAGTTGAGCAACGCTTCAGACTCCCACCCTCGTCGCTATCCATACAAAACAATTTAATTTGGGTGAGTAACCGGGGCGGGGGAAGGTGATGAAACCGGAGGCCTACGCACTGTGAAGTCAAGTACAGAGACGTTGCCTTTACGTTTCGACATTTTAGTACCGTCAGGGTTGAGTAGGATGGGGAGGTGTGCGAATTGTGGAGGTTTGAGTGACAGAGATGCATATAGATCCAGGTGCAATGGAAGAGAAGGAAGCCACTCCTAGTCGAAAATGAGAATGTCGATGGATGTATGCGCGTTAACAAATGATTGGAGAGAGCGTACCTCACCACGTAGCACATGTGTAATCCCCATCTCGTGGTCGTCCACGATGGAAGCGAGATGATAAGTAGGGAAGAGGTCAGACTTCAGAAGGACGGGGTCGGTCGGCAGCGACGCGTGTGCATCCCGGAGAGCGCCAAACACCAAGTCTGTCGCTACCTCACGTTCGGGCAGCCGATCATCCTAAGACCACTTTGAAGTGAGCAGCAGCAGCTATATAGGTTGAACGCTTGCAGAGAAAGACGTACGTTGAACCTCACTATGGAACTTTCACCTGCGCGTATACGCCGCGCCACTTCTTCTTCTGTGAGATGCAGACACTCCTTGTCGTACGTTGCGTTAGAACCTGTGCGAGCGAGCCGTTCCCTCGTGGATGCCAACTTGTCGGGAGAGCAGAAGCAGCGATAGGCGTGACCTGACTGTACAGTCAAGGACAAAATGTTACTTGTGATCATAATTGTTTTCTTGGACGTAAGTGGTAAACCACACGTACCTCAAGAAGTTTGTGGGCATACGTTCGATATAGATCCAACCGCTCGGACTGCCTCGGTGTCAGTCGACTCGAACCACCAGCTATGGAGATTGGGATTCGAGTACCTGATAGTATGGGCCGTGTGGACCATCCCGACCTGGCCCTTCAATCCGAAGGTCATCAGACACGAGATACAGAACTGCAAAGTTCGCGATTCCCCCTCACCGTAGTCATATTCCAAACCAGACCATTCTAACGCAGCTCGAATGCCGTCGACAGCACCGGTCACATAACGAGTCTATAGTCAATGAATGTTTATCAGAAAACGTAAAGTCTCCGTGAAAAACCGGCAACCCAAACCAAGGGCGTACGGGGTCGGTGTCTTCGATTCTAAGTATCCACTTTCCACCATGCTTCTTGGCATAGAGATGGTTATAAAGTGCTGTTCTGAGTCCACCGAGATGTAAAGCGCCAGTGGGCGAAGGTGCAAATCGCAAGAGTACCATGTGTATGGACAATTGCCGAGGTGCAAGCTCAAGTGTGCGACCCGTGTGTAACCGGGGTGACTGGTAATCTAATCTACATTCATAAACCTCAGAGAGACGGCAACGGCGCTTTGAAACGCCAGCCAGAGGATACCCAGTGCTACGATGACGAACACGTCGGGAACCACAGGTGATGCGGAATCGAAGCCCAGGACTTTTGTTCTGGCTTCCAGAGCCTCCAAACTCGCCCAGATCCAAACCAATATTGTGCTCGATGCCCTCCGGGCAGCGTTTCCGTCTCTTTCCTTCGATACGTCGTTCATGTCGACGGAGGGGGACAAAAATCAGTCACAGGCACTGTATTTACTCGGTGGGAAGGCACTTTGGACGAAGGAACTCGAGGTCGCACTGAAGGAGAAAACTGTAGACATCCTCGTCCATAGTCTGAAGGACGTCCCGACAGTCCTTCCTGATGGATGCGAGATCGGTGCTATCCTGGAAAGAGAGGATCCAGTCGATAGCCTGGTCGTGAAGCAGGGATTACCCTACAGGAGGCTGGAAGACTTGCCAGCCGGTAGCGTTGTTGGCACGAGCAGTGTGCGTCGAGTAGCTCAATTGCGCAGAGCCTTTCCAGGGTTACAATTCATGGATGTGGTGAGTGGGCTATCACCATCCTCTCGCCCATAATCACCCGGTGTATTGAAAACTATTGCAGAGAGGAAACCTGTAGGTCTCTAAGCCGTGTTATGGCTGGCCGCTCAATAGCGTATGATCTTTCAGTAACACTCGTCTTGCCAAATTGGACGCGGCGGACGGTCCATTCACAGCACTTATCCTCGCCAAAGCTGGTCTCGTACGCCTCGGATTGGGTGATCGCATCACAGATGATCTACATGCGCCAGTTCTTTACCATGCCGTATCCCAGGGAGCATTGGCTCTTGAAATCCGGACTGACGATTCTCAAATACGAGAACTCTGCGAGGCTCTGACACACCGCGAAACTCAGCTGAGATGTCTTGCTGAGCGTGCTATGCTGCGTAAATTGGAAGGAGGATGCAGTGTCCCCGTTGGAGTGACCACCTCGCTTACTCATGAGGAGAGTGGACCAGACGGATTGAAACAAAGTCTTTTGCACATCACAGGCTGCGTTACGTCGATCGACGGTTCTTTGCATGTTCAGGGGGCGCTGGCGGAGACGGTGCAGAACCCAGAAGAAGCGGAACAACTAGGTACTAGACTGGCAACTATATTGATCGACAATGGGGCTGGAGGAATTCTTGAGGATATCAGTCGGGACAGGGAGAAACGGGCAAGCGAAGCAAAGGAGAAAGAATGATAATGCATATCTGTATTGATAGTATATACATATCAATTCGTGTAACCAATCTACCCGCGGATGTCCACCTGAAATTCAACGATAGCGGCGATGAAAACCAGCGACGTTCAAGAATAACAAGAGTGTCGATCTACCTCCCCACGAGCGCCTGCAAGTCCCTTGGAAATGAACACGGACAGCAAGTGACTCTAAAGCAGGGAGGATTCAAAGACATTACTTCGCCCAAAAAAACTGGGAACGCAAATTTATACTGAGATATTTACACCTGTTTGTGCTCTTCCCGATCGGGATGTCCCCCGCACGACTATGATGACTCTTGACAAAGGTTGGAGCAGTACTGGTATGGCGTCCATTTCGGCTCGACGTCTACGCAAGGAGCTCAGCGAGATCAACATCGAAGGATGCCCAGCTGGTGTGTTTTGCCCATCTCCCACTTGGTTTTTGCGCCAATTCTACTCCAACGGATAGGCATCAAGCTCCTTAGCGCAGATAATTTCGACACTTGGTTGTTCTCTATAGAGGTCTTAGGCGAAAGTTTATACCAGGTATATATAATAACCGTCCTGACCCACACTCCTACTCATCATCTGACGTGCCTGCGCTCGCAAGGGAGAAGTTTTCAAACTCATGTTTCGCTTCGATGCCAATTACCCCATTTCGGCACCAGCTGTACAGTTTGTCGTAGATGAGACAAGAGAGGCGCCTATCCACCCAGTTCGTGAAATCATCCCTCATATTGGCCGTTTGCTCGTGGAACACTGACTCTGCGGGTGCAGCATATATATTCTAATGGACATGTAAGTGTTTATCGACACACTGACTTTGGAGAGCCTTTCCATTTTCCGAACGTATATAGATATGTGCATCTATCCTTGGGACTGAGTGGTCCCCGGTGTTGAGCGTGTCCGCTGTGTGCGTCACGCTTCAGAGCATGCTCGCATCTTGCAAGGTACGAGATACCTCATCTTTTCCCCTTGTGCTAGAGTAGAGAACCGTTCTCCAGGTCAAGGAACGGTGTGTATTCTCATCGATTCCGCCTCTGCGCAACCTGATGGCGTCATATCTAGGCCCGTGGATAACGACAGATATGTACGGACCGCGCCCGATAATCCCAAGAAGGTACGTGCCCTTTCTTTCCCTTGAAAATTCTCAGGGTTTATCCCACCTGCGCAGACGCGTTTCCAATATGACGGTGAGATTCGATCGGATACCATCAGCATGGCTCCACTCACTTCATTCTTTCGTTTTTCGGCCTAGATGACACGTGAGCCCACTATCCACTGTTGCACATTAGACATACTGAATCGACTTTTTTAGGGTGTAACTATATACTCTTGTGTAGAACAGACTTGCATGTCGAATCCTGTTAGCATTTGCACATACACAACTTTTATCTGGACAAGATTTCGAAAAAAAATAGTCCCCTGGTTTATGTGGTTCTGCCTTTTGTACCCAATGCAGTTGGTTGGTATGAGGTATATGTTCTATATACACTTCCCCGCCTTACTTTTGTTGTATTGGTTGGCTCTATAATCATGTGCATCAATACTCACAAGCAGAATGGTGATGAGTTATCAAGGAAAAGGGTGCCCAGGTTCATGGCATATTCCAGCCTTGGGATTCACTAATGTAGTGTTATGCCTTGCTTCACATTTCCCCCTTTCTGTTTGCTACCCCTGTCCATGACTGCCATGTATATTTTCCTTTATTCCTGGATGCTGTTAGGCCCAGGCCCCCAAACTCTTCGTGAGCAATGATCATACTTGACTGACCATTCTGGTCATGTGGGTTCTTGTGCCTTTTGGGAGTGGTTGTTTCTTTGGGGTATTGCATTCATCACACCTTTGAATGTTGGTCAGATGACTTTGATCCACATAATTGGACATGTGCATGTCATGGGCATTGGCATCTGTTGCTTGTATATTGACCTCACTGGTGTCAATGATGGTACAGCTCTCACTTATGAGTGTATATGATGAGAGTATGCCTTCAAGTGTGTTACTTGGCAGCATGATGTGCTGTTGGAGTCTACACCAATGTCATTGGTGTGTTGTGCTAGTTTGCTTCAAGAGTTTGTGGAACAGTGCCCATTCTTGATTACAAAGGACATGAGATTTATTGTGAATTATCACAAGGTGGTGTTGCATAGCAAGTTGTGATGGATGATGTCTTGATGCACTTTGCATTCATGAATGTACTGTTGTATGTCCATCACTGTTCTATGTCTTCCAAGAGCTAAGAATGGTGCAGTGTGGGAGTGGCCTTGTGCCAGTAATGCTACCAGCCATCACACCTGAGAGAAATGTTGCTCATGTCAGAGCTTTGCATTGACATGAGATGCAGGCCATATGTCTGACACCAACAGTAGGGAGGAGTGAGGAGCTACCCAGTTATCCTCCCTTCCAATCTCTGAGTGATAAGTTTGAAATCATCCATGATTGGAAGAACAACTTGTCCCTGCAACATCTTCAAGAGGATGTTTGTGTTGTGTGTGCACAACTGGTTCAATGTCATGATCTTGCAGGTGTTGTCCCTATGAAAGAAATGCTTTCCATGCTAACAAATGATTGGTTGCCTCCACAGTGTTGTCCTTGGATGTATGATATAGAGAAATATCATAATGAAGTTATGAGTATCTCAGCATATGAAGTAGTCACTGAGGTGGAAAACAATGGTGTGTAAAATTTATAGTATGGTAATTAGTAAGTGTGTTGACATTGGAATTTAATTCCAAGGGTTGGGGAGAAATTTTGAGCCCTCTGGGTGAAACTCTGGAATGCATTCTCAACACTTCCCCTCAATTGGAATGAAGTCTGAGTGCAGATGTGAAGTGTTTCACCTTGATGCTTGGTAAGGGTTTGGTAAGGGTATCAGCGACCATGTCATCAGTAGGACAATAAATTAAATGAAAGGAATGGTTTTCCACAGTGAAATGAATGAAATGGTATCATATATCGATGTGCTTGGTGTGAGCATGGTAGCTGCCATCCTTGGTGAGTGTGATGGCAGACTGGCTGTCAAAATACAGCAGGATAGGATGATTGAGTGGTTGGAAAACTTCCCTGATGAGTCATTGGAGCCACAAGCCCTCTTTGGCTGCATGAGTTGCTGTGATGTACTCTGCTTCTGCAGTTGAGAGCATGACAAGTTCTTGTTTCTGTGAAGCCCAACTAATAGCTTCTCCATCCAGTAGATATGCATATCCACTGATAGCCCATTGATGCTCCTGTGAAGCTCCATCTGCATCAGTATAGCCCTTGAGGCCTCATTCTGTATTTCTGAATGTCAAAGTGAGTGCTTTTGTGCCTGTGATATACCTGTAGGTTTGTTTTACAGCTTCCCAGTGAGCCATGTTGGGTGTGTTATTGAACTGCATGACTGTGGAGACAGCAAATGTGATGTCTGGGCATGTTCCAACAGTGAGGTGCATAAGGGGGCCTACAGCAGCATGGTAGGGCATGTTTTTCATGTGTGCAGCTTCTTCAGCTGGCTGCAGAATTTCTCCATGAGAGAGTTTTATTCCAGGGTCCATTGGAATTGCAGCAGGCTTGCAGTCAGTGAGGTTATATTTTGTCAGGATGGCCTCAATGTAGGACTGCTGGGATAGCAATATGGTGTGGGCTTCTCTGTTCCATGTCACCTTCATCCCAAGTAGCCAACTGATGGGCCCTAGGTCAGAGATTTTAAAACGAGTGCTTATCTCTCATTTGAATGAGTGAATTAACAATGGGGAACTGCCTGTTACAGTGCAGTCATTGACATGGCTGGCAAGAATGAGAATTTCTGGTCCTATGTGACCATAGAATACCCCCTAGTCTGCATGTGCCCTGGTGAGTCCAAGATCTGCAAGAGTGGCACATAGCTTCTGGTACCATCGAAGTGTGCCTTGTTTCAAGCTGTATAATGCAATGTTTAGCTTCCCAACTGGACAGGAAAAATTCTGCCCTACAGTGTAGCCCTCAGGGAGCTCCATGTAGATGTCTTTGCCATCTCCAAGTTTGCCATTTAGGAATGCCAAGTGGAAAGTGAATACATTGATATCTCAGTCATTGCATGCAGTGATTACTAGTATGGTGTGGAGAGATGCAAGTCTTGCAAGTGGGAGCATATGTTTTGTTGTAGTCAATGCCCTGGATCTGAGAGTAGCCCTTAGTGACTAGGTGGGCCTTGTACTTCTCAATTTCTCTGGTGGCATTGCATTTGATCTTGAAGACCCATTTGCATCCTACAATGTTTGCACCTTTGGGGCACTCAATGACATCCCAGGTATGCACTTCCTCTAGGTGCTTTAATTCCTCATTTATGGTGTTTTGCCACTTTGGCCAGTCAGCTTGGGGTTTTGCCTCATGTACTGTAGATGGGTCCAGCCCTTTGGCTTCAGCCATCCCTGCCACCATAGCATACACCATGTTGGTGTTGTCTTCATCAGCAGCTAGTTCATCATTGAATACATAGGTAGTGTTTTCTTGAGATTTTGGGCTGTTTGGGTTGCTATCACTCTCTCAGGAGCTCTTTTATGAAGTTGAGAGGGGTGTGTCCATCATGAGTGCCTTCCCCTGCACATAGGTGCCTCATATAGTCTGATTTCAAAGTAGCTGGCAAGTGGAATGATGAGGTTGAGGTGGAGGCATTTTGAAATTTTCTCCAAGTGGGTCTGAAATGAGTCTCAGAATTTCCTTGCAAAGCTCTGGAGTTTCATTTTGAGGCTTCAGAATTTCCTATTTGAGGCATCGGAATTCTCCTGCTCCCCCTCGAGCAGCACACCATGTGGTATGGACACATCTTGGTGCTTGAAAATGACACTTTGTTCAATTCCAATTGCTCATGTGTTGGGCCAGTAGATGCAGTGGCCATTGCTCTCAGGGTCAAATCCTACCCAGTGTCTGTCTTGGGCTTGCATGTCTAGTTTGGAGCCAGAGGTGTCATGGACCTTGACATGACATCCCCAGACTGGAATTTTTGAGAGGTCAGGTGGTCTTTGGTAGAGCATTTCATAGGGAGTTTTTGTGCCTAGATGGTGAGTTCGATGAGCAGTTTTTGAGCCAAGTCACATGCATAATGGCCTCCCCCCAGAAGTTCTTGGGTAGGCTGCTGGCATGAATTATTGCACATACTTGTAGTATTTCCTACTAGTATTCCCTCAGTAGTTTGTTCACTACTGAGGTAGCCTACAGATATTTCTACAATTCTGCAACTCCATTGTGTTTGGGGGTATCATGGACAGTTATGTGTCATTCTGTGCCTTGGGATTTCAGATGTTCTGAAAATTCTGCACTAAGGTACTCTCCCTGAGATCTGAGTGAAGTCACTTGACTTTGGTATTGAACTACATGTTCAGCCATGCTTTGTAGGCCTTGTATGACATGAAGGTCTTGGCTTTCATCTTCTGGAGGTACAGCTTGGTGTAGCAGGTGTGGTTGTCTGTGAATGATGTGTAGTACTGACTGTGGCCAGGGGTTTGGACTGGAGAAGGTCCCCAAAGATCTGTGTGGACCTCATTGCCTAGATTTTCATGGCAGGGTGGGTTGCACTCCTTCCTGATGGGCTTCTGAGTCACTTTGGCATATTTGCATGAATTGCATGCACCCATGGTGGAATGCACTTCGTCCAGTTTAATTCCACTGATTGTGCCATCTTTCAGCAGTGTGCTGGATGGCTTCAGGAGTGATGTGGCCAAGCCTGATGTGTATCTCCTCCATGGTGAGGGATTCTGTGGCCTTAGCTAGGCCTGAAAAGGCATGACGAGCTCATTTGAGACAGTAGAGCCCTTTTTGCATTGGAATTTCAGCTACTTTCTTTTTCTGAGCATCAAAAATTTGACAACACTTGTCTTGGAATAATGTGGCATACCCAGCAACATCAAGTTTGCTAACAGAAACAAGCATAGTTCCCATCTTGGGGGCATAGAGCATGTTCCTTGAGTTGAATGTGGGTTTGTGCAGTGCTGTTTTGGAGTGAGATTGCAAGGTCACCTTTCCTGATGGCATGGAAGGTGTGGTTGTCAGCAGCAGTAATAGGTTTGGGAATGATTGGCTTGTAGTTGAGGAATTTGCTGCAGTAGGAGGACATATGATGTGAAGCACCAGAGTCAAACAGGATGGTCTCCTCTGCAGAATTTAGGCTTTCACCTGTGAGCAGAGCATGATTGAAGGTGTTTGTGTATGCATCTTCTTTGTCAATAATGATGTCCTGGGTGTTTGGAATTTCTTCCTCCATAATTTCTGTGAACCAATCATCGTCCTGTAGGGTGTGCTAGC